GAGCTTTTCCTTGGCATCTCAAGGGTACAGTTGTTTGATGGATGTAAACAAGTGAAACATCTGATCAAGTGGGATGACTTAATTTCCTTCTTAAATATTTTCTGTGGTCTCTGTTGTGGCTCTAATGATGTTTCCCAAAATAGCATTTTCAAAATTATTTTTGATGCTTTGGATGCAAGCAGGAGTATTCATAGATCGGCTATATAGCATCCGGGATGGTGTCTCACTGCAGTACTGGGATGTCCATCAGACTAGGAACTGTGTGCTTCCTCTCCAGGAGCCTGAAAAGGTGCTGAATGTTTTAATTGTAAGGTAGAGGGTGGCTAGGGTGGGACAGAACAGGGGTGTGTCTAGAGTTGGAGAGACCTGCAAGAAAATTCATTTCTATCTCTCCCCAGCAGTATGCATACTTCAGCTCTGTGAATCTCAGTTTCCTCATCTGAGTAATGGACACCTGCTTCACAGGATTTTTAAAAGGATTAAGTAAGACATAAGTGCTCACCATAAAATGAGTTTCCAAAGCATGACAGAGTCCCCTCCATCCCCTATTCTACTGAGGAAGTGAATTGCCCCTATGGTTTTTAGATGGCACAAGGGATAGCTGAAAGATTGTTAGACCTTCTGTTTCTCACAGTACTTCCCTACTCTTATCAGGACTCTTTTATTTCAAAAAATACAAAGATTTATTTGTTGGAAGGTAACGGAGGAACCAGCATGATCCAACGAGCAGCTACAGATGGTTCTTCTTGGGGCTTGAAGGAAAAGCTCCTCACAGAGATGCTGTGGAATCGGCACTGCCACTGGACCAATCCTTCCCACTTCTCTTTGCCAGACTGTTGCTGGCAGCAGGGCTCTCCGGAAGTTTCTAGCCTCAGGAGAGTGCCAACTGCACCACCATTGCATCCTTGCCCGTTTATCACTCTGAGCTTCCTTTTTAGTAGTTGGTGATAGACTATTCGGCTTCTAACTTAGTCATCCATTTCCTTTTTTTTTCAATTTTTGTTTCCATCAATAGGCAAATGAGGATTATCCTATCCCAACGTGAGGACAAGGGGTTAAACTAGCTCAGCTAAATGATTTCTGGGTTTTAAGTGTACCTTTGATTCATGAAACTATGCTTTCACCAGCCTTGGGTGTTGCAGCTCCAGGGCTCTGCTGGTCACCAGCAAGTGGCCTGCAGTCTTCACTGAGCATCCTGGGGCATTTTGGTAGGGTATGTCTGGTGGTTCCAGAGGCAGGGCATCACGGCTGATTCTTTCTCGGGTAAAATGCTCTCTGCAGCTTCAGAGGCTGCAAGTGGGGTGCACCTCTAGTCTGCCCATCTCCCTGCATAAGAGAGGCCCCTCCAGAGACTTTTCCCAGTGAGCTGGGGAAATGTGCAGTGGAAATGGCACACTTATCTTGCAGTTGCGAGGGAAGCTTTTGTTTTATTTTTCTCTTGCTGCATTAAAGTATTTGTCTTTCTTTCTTTGTAGTGTAATATTGTTAATGTAAAACAATTTGCATCATGACACTTTTATCACAGTTTTCGTCTTTTTCTCAGTATGTTGCATTTCTCACCATGTCTAGTTCATCACAGCTACAGTGTGTACATCACAACATTTATCTTAGGCTCAGGGTTTTACTTGTTTATAAAAATTGTCTTCTTTCAGCCTGTATTCACTCCATTTAAAAAAAAAAAAGGCAGCCAGAAACTGTTTTGGTCCAAACTCCAGTAGTTATCACATTCCTTGCTAACTGTCCTGCGTATTTATATGTCTCCTCTCTATTACTCTATGTTTCAATGACATTTCTCCATTTTATGGCTTAGGGAGGCTGTAAGAGCAGCTTTTGCTGTTCATGTTGCCAAGAGGGGAGGTCCCAGAGGGGAGGTGACACAGCTGTATATCTGGGTCAGGTGTAGGAGTTGATACTAACTCTCTTCCATGCGTGAAGAGTAAGATTGAATGTGGGGGTGGGTGGGAGGGATAGGTGGGCAGGATTGGTGCAGTGAGTGTGGCTATGAGAAAATCTAGCAGAATTGAGCACTAAGGGTTGGAGGGATGAACCTGGGCTGGGGACTCGGGTTATTCGTATTCACAGTCAGTGTTCAATCCCAGCCTTTACTGTCTCCAGCTTACTTTCCCACATGACATGTCATTTAGGGGGTTGTTTGTTTGTTTGTTATTTTTTTTATCCTGTCCTCTCTGAAGGGCTGAAAGTTGCTTCTGATTTTACTACTGAACCAGGTTTGACATAACCTACAATGTCACATACTTCCCACTCCTCATTGGGCTATGTGGAACAGTTCCTTTCTGAATAATTCAGTCTGCAAAGGGTCAGGGTGCAGGAGCTCAGGGCCAGCTGGGGCACCTGCACTCTGCAAACTGAAGAACAGTTAAACAGTGACCTCCTGTGCCTTAGCTGGAAGGCCACATCACTAATATCATGGGAGTTAAAGAATTTCTGCTGTCAACCTGTGTGGCCGGCTCCGAAGCTTCCTGCAGCTGTAGCCGGATGCATGCTAGTTCCTATGGAATCTCTGTCTCTATTAGAAAATGAAAGGGCTGTAGACCTATCTTGCCATAGCAGTGTTATTAAGATTAGAGTAGTGTTTCTTAAATAAATCCTTTATGGTGCTTAACACAGTGACTAGTACACAATAAGCATCCAATACATATTAATTAATGGCATGGTATAAGGGCTGAAAGTAGGCAAAAATATATCTCAGGAAATTTCAGGATGAGAGTGTAATACTTCCAGCTGTTACCACTTGTCTCTCAAAGCTAGGAGTGAATAAAATGAAAAGTACAATATCCTTAAATTTCTTTCACTTACTTCATTGTTACTACAAGTATTAGATGCTAAGAAAAATTATCAATATGTATGAATCACTTTCTCTCATAGGTCTTATTGTTTATCAATTTAAATATTGCTATATAAAAATGAATGCTTGGAAAATGAACAGGATAATGTGGAATGGATGGATGGGTGGGTGAATTTATGCACAGAGGGATAATACAACTCACCAGACATATCATTTCCTTAAAATAAAGTAAAACTTCATTATGATTTATTTTGGGCTTTCTTTTTTTTTGCCTTTTTGAGGGGTGGGAGTGAAGACACCTGCTCAGGGTTTACTCTAGCTCTGTTGTCAGGGATCACATTGAGTTCAGGGGACCAAATGGAATGAATGAACCTGAGTCGTCCATGCACTATTGCCCTGGCCCCTCGATATGACTACTTTTTTTAAAAAAAACTTTTTTTTTTGCTTTTTGGGTCACGCCTGGTGATTCACAGGGGTTACTCCTGGATCTGCACTCAGGAGTTACCCCTGGCGGTGCTCAGAGGACCATATGGGATATTTGGAATCAAACCTGGGTCAGCTGCATGCAAGACAAGCACCCTACCCCCTGTGCTATCTCTCCAGCCCCTTGATATGACTTTTTCAAAATAATTCTTAGATACTTATTTTGAAAGTTCTCAGGTAAATGATTAATTTGGCTCAGAAATGCATTATGGTCAGGATGCTTGGGGCCTGCTGTCCATCGATGGGGTGGGGGGACATGTTCTGAGTTGTACAGAACAGGACAGTCCTGGGAGGCTCAGTCCTCAATGACTAACTGTCTCCTGAGAGTTGTAGCAGGATATCTATTTTCCCGCACCCCCAGAAACACTGTGCTATAGAATTCCCATTTCAGTATCAGTAATTCAGTCATAAAGAAAAAGAGAAAAGAAAAGCCTGTCTCTTGAGTTCTATTTTTGTGAGGCGCAGAGAGAGTTTCATTATTCCCATTTTACAGAAAATGAGGGTGAGAGAGCAGCATGTCTCTGGGAGCACAGGTCACTGGTCTGGGTGCTGCGGCTGGAGTCTGAACATTGTTAACTCTAGTTAAATTTTAACTCTAGTCTTTTTCCTACCAGCAAGATTCCTGGGCCCAATACTAACCAGGTCTTAGCTATATTTGAGATCTGCAAAATACAAACTGCTCACAAAGTTTACTTTGATTCAACAAGTGCTGTAGAATGAACCCACTGGTGGATATTCAACCTTAGGGGAGCCAGTAACAAGGCCCTCAAAACCAGTGCTTGTTCATTCTCCTCCCAACAGCACCACAGTGTCTATGTCATGGTTTTTTACCTTTTTCCCAATTTTTTAATATCTCCAAATTATATTTAGATGACTTCTTTCTTGCTTTCAAAGTCCTTTTCATCCATAACTACCCCTTAACTCCCCAGCTTTGTCCCTGTTCCATAAGTCCTGCCTCATGAGGCCACGAGTTGGTTTCAAAAAGCTGACCTCTCAGTTTTTCATTCCATGTCCCTGGCTGATTGGGGAGTGACTTGATCTAACAGAAGCATTTTCCACAACACAGAACGAGACAGACAACAACTACCCCCTGATTTTCTATGGCCGATCTTACTCTTCTTCACCCTTTTCCCCTCACATATGTTGCATTTTCCTAGGTTTTAAACATCTGTTCTCAAAAAGGTAATGCTGGTGTCTCATTCAAAGCCTCGCAATGTGGACCAAAGTTCATATGACATATTGCAGAGTATGTTTAGTTGTAAATGCTATGTACAGGCTCTTTGAAATGTAGCATGTATGGCACCATGTGACACATGGTTGCCATGGTAATACACTTTTTGGCTGAACTACAGCATAAGCCCATGGAACATACATTGCTAATATGAGACTCTGCCCTGTGCTAATGCATAGGACACAGCCAATCTGGGATCTGGTACTTGAGGGCTTTCACATGCAGCCTGGGTGGCAGGTGCCCTCTTCTTGCATGTGCAGGGAAGATGTGGCATCCTCCCTTTCCAGTCCTGTCTCCCAGGCACAGGGCATGCTGTGCATTCTGCCATGCATGGAGACAGCATTTGCTTGAATATCGGTTTGCTATATTTTGTATCAAAGGGGGCCCCAGCTGAAAACATTTTATTTTGTAAACTGAAGTGAAAAATCAGTTTATGGCAGATCTTTTTTTGAATAATGACATTCTTTTTCCCAATTCCAGAATTCAACAGTCATGAGCAGAGCTGAAAATTTTAAACAAGTTGAGTACCTCCTTATTCATGGAACAGCAGATGGTGAGTTTCAGTTAATTAGACTTTTTAGTATCACAGACAGGTTTGCAATTTCACTACTGACAAAACAAAAGCATGAGGGGCAAGACTGTTACATTTACTTCAATAAAACAGTGTTGCTTTCCACAACTCACTTGTCTTGGGCTAAATGGGATGCTGAGTCCTACAACTTCAAACAGACCCTTTCTTCTTGTGCCTCTCCCACCCTTTGGTATTACAAAATTGGAATGGCTATTAGTTACTTTGCATTTCCTTTCTCTCCCTGCAGATAACGTTCATTTTCAGCAGTCAGCTCAGATCTCCAAAGCCCTGGTGGATGCTGGAGTGGATTTCCAGGCGATGGTATAAAGCAAAACTTTGTCAAGGGGAACAGACTTGTTGGTGGGCTGGTTGGGCCCTCACTGGGCTGCTTCTCAGAGGACTTAGCAGGCAGGGATGGAATGAATTAAAAGGGATTCTATTTTTTCCCTACAAAGTTGGGTGATATCCTTGAGCTAAACCCAGAGTAATATTCAATAATATTAGAGGTTTGGGGTATTAAGAAGCACAATATTTCACATCCTGTGAGTGCAAAAACACTGCTCTACTATTCATGTGATTATTCAGTCCATCCCTATTTTGATTCAAAAGTAATCACTTACTCAGTAAATGTGTGGCAGAGTAATTCTAAAGTGAAACCGGCATGATAATAGCTCAGCTCAACTCTGACAATCCATTTCTGTACAGTCATTCTAACAACAGTGGGATATTAATAAGCAGCATGCTTCAGTTTGTGCAATTGCTGTGTTATCTTTTGTTGAACAACTGGAGGCAATACACATTTAGACTTATTTTATAAAGTCAGAAATGGCCAAAGCTGCCTATTCAGCATTGCTTATTCAGAAAGATGTTTTCAGCTATAAAGTCAAAATTGATTATCCATACTACATAAATTAAGAGGAAAAAAGATTGTACAAATACATACAGATGTGTAGCCACACATAAAACATGTAAATATGTATGTACATACTCTGTATGTTGTACTAAATATTTTTGAGTATATACAAAGTGAAATGCAGCTTTCTTGCCTATTAGCTAGGAAAGTGTCCTTCCCTCACCTTTTTCTCTCCCTTGCTTTATGCTCAGTTGAAAGAGTGTCCACTGAGTTTTAGGAGTGCGTGAGATACCTGACAACAAGCAACAATAGTCAAGGTTTATTTCCTTTAGGTCAGATTCTTAAAAGAAGTTGAGATAGAATGTTTGACAATTCAGAGAGAGACGTATAATGGCTAGCATACGCCACTTTCAAAAGTTAATTTATATCTCCATAATATATGTTTGCCAGCAGTGACTTCCAACTTGTTTAATGTGATTTGAGTTAATAAATTTTTGCTTCAGGTCATCAGTTCTTTCTACAGAAATGTAAGACACAGAAAAAAATGTAGTGAAAAATCTGAGTGCTCAAAATACATTTGACTTTTGACTTCATTTATGTAAAGCATAAACAGATTTTTCCAGTTTATTAATGACATATTAGGAAACATATTTTACTTTTAAAACACTCATTTCTTTTAAGATCATTTCTCTTACTATTCTGTAGTACAAATATGACACTTGATAAGCAATGAAAACTGTAGGCTTCATGGGATAAACATTCCTTCAATACGTGATGCAGTTTTAACTGCCCTTCAAGTGAAATTTTAAAATAGGTTTGGTGTCCCCACTGCACTGTGCATAGCTTTAAGGCACAATGGAGCCCACGAAAATTTATAGTACGATGCTCCAACACTTGCCAAGGATTAGCAGAGGCAAGCCCAGGGCCCCAGCAGAGCTCGAGGGAGAGTCAAATGCTCTTCATCACGTTTCAGTTTACAAATTGATTCAGGAATTATGGCAGCCTGCTTTATACCAAGTACGCTCTTGAGAGCATATTTTAATTGTCATATATTCCTTTAAAAATGACAACTGACTTTCGAATTCTGACCTTTCTTTCTCCCCAGTGGTACACGGACCAGGACCATGGAATTGCCAGCAGCACGGCCCACCAGCACATCTACACCCACATGAGCCATTTCCTCAAACAGTGTTTCTCTTTATCTTAGTACTTGAAAAGCTTATTACATTGTGAAGCTTATTAAAATTCATTGTTGTTCTTATTATCTCAAAACTGCAGTTGTGATGATGACCTTAACAAATACACTCAAATCAAAAAAGTTCAAGTTATCTTTGTTCCCTAAATTTAGTACCTAAGCAAGTAGGGATGCCATCTTTGCAACAGATTATTTTAATTGACAGAATCTTGAATTGTTCAGTCTGGTTTTATCACTTAAAATCATTTCCACATCAATTGCTGAGACAAGGAATGAGACTTGTTTTTTGTGAGAGCTTTTCACATAGGTTCCCTGGACAAGCATTTGATTTTCTTCTTCCTGGGCTAGTCCAAATCTTGTTGTCATCCTTTAAAGAATAACAAGGTATGGGCAGTGATGTCGCTGCAGTAGGGGAAAGGAAGGAGCAGGGAGGGGGAGACGCTAGCAGGGCATGGCTGCTAACCCATGTCCACGCTTGCCGACCTGCCCCAAGCTGCTGTCAGCTCCTCTCAGAGAAGAGCTGTTCACAGCCCAACTGGCACTGTCTTCTAAGAAAGACTATTGAAACAGCCTCAGGAAATCAAAAATGCAAAGCACTGAGTTCTGAGTAAAACCACAGCAGCTGAATAGGCTCTAAAGAATTGAAAGGGAAACTGTCAACAATGCAAGGTCCACAGGTGCCAGTTATGGCTATAGGTGCTACAAAACCACATCAAGGGAGGTGGGAAAGTATTGTAAACATGCTTCAAAAGTACAAATATTTCGTGGTGAAAAGGCGACTTGTAACTGAAATGTGAGCACATCAGCTTGCCCGGCTAAAAGATGAAAATATTTGTATCACAAATCTTAACTTGAAGGAGTCCTTGCATTAGCTTTTCTATTTCATATCTTTGAGGATCTTAATAAAGAGTATTTAAACTTCCTTGGACTTCTTTTTTAAAAATAAGCAACTAGAATTTTATGTATTATTATTCCCATTCTATGTACAATGGAATTTTTTCTGATCATTTAATAAATGTGCCTTCATTTTTTCCCAAAGGTTATGAGTTTTGTGTCTTAAATCAGATCCAAACCACACAGGCACAAACACATATTAATCCAGAGAGTTTCTTTTTGTCTGTTATCCCAAACATGGAAAGAATTCAGTTTTTGTAATAAGATGAAACACAGTGGCCAGAGAGAGAGAGAGACAGAGAGAGAGAGAAAGAGAGAGAGCATACACAGTGGGTAGGGCATTTGCCTTGCATACAGCTGACCTCAGTTTGATCCTCAGCACCAGGGGTGATGGCTGAGCAGAGAGCCAGGAGCGAACCCTGAGAAAAGCTGGATTTGTGCACCACCCCACCCCCCAATCCAAAGTAAAACAAAAAGAAGATACATAGAAACGTGTTAAATTAAGCAGTTTCCAGGTGTTTTGTCTAAAGCATATATAATTTCTGCTAACAAACATACGTGTAGCTTTTAAAAAATTGACCTAAAATATTTTAATTGACATATAAATTATAATTTCATTGCAGAGAAAAACAATGAGTATTTTTATATTTTGATAAAAATAGTATCAATAGTATCATCTTCATATTATTGATGGCTCCACAGAAGTAAAAATAAAAAGTCAAATGAGGGATCAGGGGTGCAGCTCAGTGGTAGAGCACATGCTTGCTTGCATTAGGGGCTCCATCTTTGGCACCACAAAACAAATTTAAAACAAAAAAAGCAGCAACAGAAAAGACACCAGATTCCTATTCCTTCCTCACCCAGTTCCTGGCAATGAGAAGAAAATCCAACCACATGTGTTTGACAAGTTTTGGCTAACATACTATAATAGGGAAGGTAGAGAGTTCAGATGTTAAACTTAGTCAAGGAAGATAACTTTCTTGGTTAGTTATTAACTGCATTAAAACTTAACTGCATTAAAAAAGACTTTGTGATACTAGTAAAGATTGCTCAATTAGATGGTTTGTGTTCTTAGTTTACTATTTATTGTTTTCACCTAGTATCTCTTTACAAATAGTAATTTAAAAAGGAAAAGTGACTATGAACTCAACTTTAGCCATCTCCTAAATTAAATCATTTGTTCAATTTAGTTTTCAGAATAGGTCATTGAGTAGCTTTACCTTAATTAAGTTGCAAATCTCACTTATTCATTGAAACCACAAAAGTGACTTTAAGATTTATAGGGTTTTAGTCAAATTTCTGTTTCTTAATATACTGAGTTCAATCACTGAGTTATCGAGAGCAGCTGATCAATCTTCATAAATATCAAAAAGAAACAGTCACAAATCGGGGGCTGGAGAGATAGCATAGAGGGTAGGATGTTTGCCTTGCACGCGGTCGACCCGGGTTCAATTCCCAGCATCCCATATGGTCCCCTGAGCACCGCCAGGAGTAACTCCTGAGTGCAGAGCCAGGAGAAACCCCTGTGCATCGCTGGGTGTGACCCCCCCAAAAAAAGCAAAAAAAAAAAGAAATAGTCACAAATCATATGTTCAAATTTTGTACTGAATTAACAATTTTTAAAGTAAATTAAATAGAAATTCTACTTTTATGATAATATATAAAATATAAGATATTGAACAGATATTAATAAGATCATTGTACATAATAGATATTGTTTAATATCTAATAGCATAATTATCTCAAAAGACAGGTGGCATAATATGTTACTGTAGAATATATGACTTGATTAAAAATTCCAACACATTTTTTGCATAATTAGAGTGCAAGTTAACATAGATTTTATTTGACCCGAACAGCAAATTTTACTCTTCTCTAAGAGTTTAAAATTAGCATATTAAAAGTAAGATTAAAAATTTATGAACAAGTTAATGGTAAACTTATTCCAAGGTTAAATTTGAAACACTTGGGAAACAATCAGATCTCTAAGAAGTGCAACCAGCCTACTATTACCTTAAGGGACCTCAAGATACATAAAGGCCCTCCCGTTGATCGTCGATTTGCTCGAGCAGGCCCAGTAACGTCTCCATTGGAGACTTTTGTTGTCACTGTGTCTGGCATCTGGCTGCGACATCTGTCACCCCATTGATCGCCAGGGTTGATTCGGCTGATCTGGCTGGCTAGGCGGGTGTCCCCTTCCTCCCTCACTGCTCCATGTGCGTCCCTCCCAAAGCTGTGCGCTCGGTCGAAGAGGACGGCCTTCCCCGATAGAGACGGACCGGTCTTCGGTTGAGGGTATACGAGTAGCTGCGCTCCCCTGCTAGAACCTCCAAACAAGCTCAAGATACATGAAAACTGAAATTCCTTTTGAAAACAACTTGTTAATGTGTCAGTGTCCATGAGAATATACCAAAGAAAGGAGAAATGTTTACATTTCTTCTACAGTTATATAATTCATATTAAAAGTTTTATCAAAGTTATTGGAAAGCTATGTTTTATTTTGTAATATTTTTGTTGGAAATCTTGATAAAAATATTACATATCTCTATTATTTTTAAAATATTGACCTACGATGTAATTCAATATAACACGGAGGTCCCAAGGCCTCCTTCCCTTAGGAAGATAACTTGTCAGATCAGGATGGTTGTAATTCTGTTTCTTTTCTTATTGATAGCTGGTCAGTGAGACTGCTGAGATGAATATCTCAGCGTTTGCTGCACTTGCTCTGAGTTTTTTGAAAATTTTAATTTATAATTGAAATTGGACTATAACATTTGTTCAATATTTAAAAGTTATCAGAATCTAAACAAAAACATAACAAAACACTAGAGTGGTCTATTTCCCTCCACTGAAATAAGTCAATCCTGTTCTGCCAACTTGTGGCAGTTAAGCAATGTTTAACGTTTTAGAAGACACCCTGAATAATGAATTTTGAGTGTGTATTTAGGAGTCTAAGGGATATAAATGATTGAAATGAGAGGACAATATAAAATAATAAAGCAAAAATTCACCACCCAATAAGAAAATCTTGGAGCACAGTATCAATATGACCAATGACATGCTCAGTAGAAAATTATCATCCTGCACGTGTTACAATATAAGTACTTAAACTCAAGAATTTGAATCAATAAAAATGAATAATAATTTACTTCCAATTGAGAAGGGTCTCTTTGCTGCTGGTTAGACCTTAAGCTTGAACAAACTCAAAGTTTTTACTCTTCATAATTGTTTAACTGCATTATCATTCTAAAGTTGTTTATAACACATGTATAACAAGAAAAAATCCATCAGATAATCAAAGTCTTACATATTTCATCTGTAGCACTGTAGCACTGTCCTCCCATTGTTCATCAATTTACTGGAGCGGGCCCAGTAACGTCTCCATTGTGAAACTTGTTACTATGTTTGGCATATCAAATACGTCACAGGGAGCTTGTTATGTTTTTTATGACTCATATGACTAAGTATTCATTGGGTAATTTTGCTTTCCAACATTAGTCACTGAAAGGTGGGGATGAAGATTGAGAAGAAATATGACTTATAAAAATGAGACTCTTGTTGAATGAGCCAGAATAGTGACCAGGTACAAGAAATGATGATCACATTGGCCTCCTGCTGGAGATGCAATGAACTGCAGGCAAGCTAGAAAACCTCAACAACATTCAGGAAAAAAAACTTGAAACAACATTCTTTAGACTCTGAAAGCCAGTTTTCTTAATTTAAAACAAGTGCTGAAATACCTATTCCACAGAATTTTTACACCCCCCCTGGATATTTAAATATAAACTTTACCTGGTACCTACTTTCTTCCCTTTCCCTCCTCCCAATCATAGCTATTGATAGATTCTTTTGGCTCCCTGGCTCCCTATTGCATGGATTTTCATCTTAGGCTTCTGTGTCCTTACACATGGGGCACTAAAGGTCCTCAATAAACGCATGATTTTGTTCCAATACCAACATGTCACTTCTAATCCTTAATCATTCTTAATACACTGAGCAGCAGCATCTTCTGACAAATTTTAATTATGATCACATCCATGGTTTATGCTTGCTGTAGAAAAATCAGAGCAGTTCTTAGCTCTGAAGAGTTACAAAGGAGGCATAAATTACTATTCATACCTTTGAATAACTAAGAAATAATTGGAAGAAATAAGTTGGGGGTTTTTTTTGCAGAATTTTAATGCTCTACATACACCAGAAGTTAAAAGTACCTAGGAGCAAATCAAGCTCATAGTGGAAATGTATGAAATGGGTACAGTGAAAAGTGTGGGCAGGGAAGAAAGAGTTTTCAAACCTGGGTGAGGCAGGCAGACAGCTCAATTTTAGCTGTACATTGATACTGTGATACCAAGTTTTTCAGAGTATTGGTTTTTCAAATGCAACCCAAAAGGTATTACGTAAAGGAATCTTCTCCATAAAAATTATAATAAAGCTATTGTGCCTATAGATATTTAATACATACCCACAGAATATGCTTGAACCTCTTTGTATTCAGTTAAAACAGGATTCTATTTGTTTGAAGAAAGTTTGGTTTGAGTATGTGGGGGTAATCCTGGGAAAAGTTCCCTAAAGATTGGTTCCACTCTCCCCCTACTATCTTCTTTCTTGCATCATCATATTAATCTTTTAAAATATTCTAGCCTGTCTATCATGTCTATCATGCAATGGGAATTTTTCAAATTCTTTTATGGAGGAGCCGGAGATAATACCTCAAGTTAAGACTATTGCCTTGCATGGGAAAACCTGGGTTTGATCTTCTGAGAACTTCCATGGGCTATTCCTGAGCACAGAACAAGAAATAAGCCCTGAACACCAAGTGTAGCTCCCAAATCAAAAAATTTTAAAAAGTCTCTAATACATAATTTGAAATAATGGCAATGTCTCCATCTCATCTTCCTACCTTTTCGTTACAGGTCTTCACTACCTACCCTTCTAACACTTCACCTGGGTTTCAAATATGCCATATATCAAATATGTCAGGATTTAGTTACAGATCACTTTGTTTTTTAATGTCTTTTTTTATTTCATTACTGATGTATGTTTGAGAATCTTTGAAGTCCTTGCACTGTCCTTCCCCATTTCCATCCTAGTCATATGTTATATAACATTGTCCTCAAACTCTGCCTTATTCAAAGTTCCATTCTTGAGTTACTTACTACTTTAATAAAACCACTGACTCAGTACATGCCATATTATGTCATAACTATGTATATATGCTGCTCTTAGAAAAGCAAGAATCATAGCCCATTTTCAAGGCTCTGGTACAAAGTGAACATTGCTCAATATACTAATGGAAATTGAATTGGGGTGCAGTTTTATTAATGAGTTATAGCTTCCTAAGGGAAATAACCAAACTATCCTTAAAATAAAGTGTTGCCTCTTTGTAATTTTGAAAATTTCTCTTTTGTATTCCATGGGTAGGGGAAGTTTGGGCCTCACCTATCAGAATTTGGAACCATGTGGTGCTGGGGAGTGAACTCAAGCCTCCCAGCTAAAATATGTGCTCAGTACATTGAGCTATCTTCTCTGGACCCAGATTATTAGGCTTATTCAAGGGATACAGTTATAAGCAGTCCTTCAAATTAGTAACTAAAATAATTATCACATTATGCAAAATGTCATCATTAAAATTTTAAATTGTAATTTCATTTTAATGCATTGGATAAATATATGATCTAGCTGTATTAGAAAATCTGAAGTGAAATCTCACATTTCACTTAAGGCTCCTGGGGCTGGAGCAATAGCGCTGCAGGGAGGGCATTTGCCTTGCACGCGGCCAACCCGGGTTCAATTCCCAGCATCCCATATGGTCCCCCGAGCACCACCAGGGGTGATTCCTGAGTGCAGAGCCAGGAGTAACCTATGTGCATCGCTGGGTGTGAGCCAAAAAAGCAAAAAAAAAAATAGTAAGGCCTAAAAGCAAAAATCTATAAAGTTAAATAGCAATAAAGGTGATTCAGGGCCTGGAGCAATAGCACAGTAGGTAGGGCATTTCTCTTGCATGCGGCTGACCCAGGTTCAATTCCCAGCATACCATATGGTCCCCCAAGCACTGCCAGGGGTAATTCCTAAGTGCATGAGCCAGAAGTAACCCTGTGCATTGCTGTGTGTGACCCAAAAAAGCAAAATAAATAAATAAATAAATGTGAATCAGCATAAATAAGAAAAAAATGAGTCATACTCTTAGGAGACAAAAACTCTACAAGATCTAGAGATCATTTTGAAATACAAGTTGCTTGTGAATCATCAGTGGGGCCTTTCTTTTTGACTATAAGTTTAAACAAGACAAAGGCGCTAGTCATATGCATATTTAATAAGGTAAACCTATCAATATTGGAGAATTTTAAATAGTAGTAGCTACAAAGTTAACTTATGAGCCAAAAGAAAACCACTAACTAGTACTATAGAGTTCTGAATGCAATTATCTTCACAACACACTGCCAGGTGGTTACAAAACAATAGTGGTCCCCACCTGAACTACTGTACCAGGGAAGAAAGAAATGGAAATGGAAACATCTCATGGGGGTTATAAAAAAAAAAGTCCAAGGAATTCTAATAATGAAAAATTCAACTAATGATCTTGGAAGTTTTGAATGGTCACAGAAAGTAAGCCATTTTTAACCAAGTGACTTCTGTGTGTAAAGATGGAGAGATACATTATAACTGATGACTCATGATTTTCTGCTTATAAAAGTTCAAATGGTTGGACTATTTGTAAAATGCTACATGACTGAGTTTTCTTAACACCTCGGTATCTAAATTGAAATATTTTTCTTAAACAATCAAAATAATCTACATTGATTAAATGACTATTATTATGGGAATAAAGAGACAAGACACTACATCACAATTTAAAATGTGCAAGGAAATTAGGCTATTTATTTCCACATAACATTTCTTAGTTGTGAAAAAAACACAATATCTGAGTCACATTTTACACATGACTTAAACTTTGCAATAAATTACATTCAAGATATTCAGTAATTTTTTTAACCAGGAATCTGAAATTAAGAGAAAACATACATTATTTATTATAAATTGTATGATTTTAAAATATTAGGATTAACATAGGGATAGCGTTAAAGTTTACACAAGAACAAAACAACTATAAAATGCTTAAAGTACAGAATTTCCTTGGATCTCATTACTTATTCAAATATATGTGATCATGAGAAGGTTTTAAGTCATCATGATTATATTTAAGAGAACAATTATTAATATTTTAAAACTCTAAGGACTGTTTTGGGGACTGACTAGTTAGACCATAAAACAATGAAAAGGTTTTACAATATAGAATCTGAATTATAAAATACACAAAGGAAGCACTTTTGGAATGGGAAGTTTCTGTATTTTACCATGGCACTTATAAACACAAACTTTATTAATTGCAAATTCATCTTTTCATATTTTAGCACTTACATTCCATAACAGATTATTTTTGAAAGACTGTGAAAGGAATTTTTCAGAAGGTATCAAAATGTTAAGCCTAATCGAGATTTTATTGTTGTTGGTTTTTCCCTCATAAGATTAATCACAAGAGGATTTACTTTTACTTTTTTAAATATGTGCCATATACTCAAATTATGTAATTAATAGTTTTGATAAATAACAGGATGCAAAATTATTATAACATTGGACACTGAATTGTTGTAAAATATTGGTAATTACTGGTCATTCTTGACAAGAATACTATGGTATTTATTCTTTATTCAGTTCACATATATTTAAAATAAAATTAAATGCTACAACTTTAGTTATACTCAACAATTCTTCACTTGCCTTCTTATAAAGATGGATTCTTTCATATATATTAAAATATCTACAGAATCTTCTCTTCAAAAAGAATCTGAAACTTTTATTTAAAAGATTAATTTTCCACAACATGCATTTAAATAGTGGAAATTGCTATGCAGGGGGAAAAAAATAAGCCAACTGGAAACTGGTCTGTCTAACTTACAATATTATTCAGAAGCAGCATTAAGTAGAACACAAGCTCTAGCAGCAAAATTTCATATACAATTACTCAGCAGAGTCCACAAGTATGTATATGATAAGCTTATTCGGAAAACATCTGGTGTTAATGAAAGATAAATTCAACAGCATATTTATAATAGAGGTTTATATTGAAAATCTCACAAAACTTGTAAAGTTTTTCTAACGCATTTCATACAAGCCTAGTATTTAATCATATAATCACAATTTGTATTTCAAAGCAAATACTAATTGACTTTTTGTAATACTGTGATTCTTTTAGACAAGTTGTGGACAGCTTTGTATATATTTCCTTCAAATGACTGTTTCAGTAATATAGAAATTCTTAAGTATTAAATGCATCATATTAAATAAAGTAAATGCATAAATACAATTATTAAAAATGTTTTCAAGCTAGTTTTTTGATTTGGGTCTTTTGAAGCAAGTCACTAATGCTAAGCTTAAAAAATAAGATATTAGGCTACCTTTCAAAATTCCTCTGAGTAAAATTATCAGGTATCTTCAGATCACTAAAATAGGAAAAGTACAAACTAGGTAAATATGACTTATCTCTTTAAGAAAGCTATTGCTCTCACAAAACTAACAATGAGAATCCCGTGTTTATAAATGTCTAACATATAGCAAAGAATACAGTTTCTTGCATTAGCTATTGTATATGCTCACAAGTTTATCTCACTGCTCAGAAGTTTAAACACAGAAATGAAACAAGTATTGCACTACTTACAGTATGAAGGTGGATTTGGACCAAGAGACAGAATTTACAATACATGATCAAAGCAGTTTTATTAATAATTGTGGCACTCTTCTCAGATATATGTGAAAAATAAATTGAAGATCAAGTCATAGACAAGTCTCCCTGTCAACACCTTTCCCTGAGTCAGCTTTCTTCTCCTTTCGGCTTTCAGTGCTACAGGGAAAAAAGGAGAAATGTATTACTGCAATCCTGTATGGCTACTGTGAGATCTGCTTGCTCAGACACAGAACCCATCAACTCCAAAGCACAACAAGGGCCCTTAGGCATTGCTCTTTCATGCTGGGAAGCATAGATAGATAACAACAATTAAAATTCTCTGCTCTTGGTTATAATCGAAACCAACAACTGCAGAAAGGGGTAAATCCAAATAGCAGAAACTAAAAAATAAAACCAGACTTTAAAAAAAAAAACAATTTCAGAAGCATGCAAGATCAATACTAAGGTCCTTGTTTGGGGAATGAATCACTAATGATTATTGAAAATGCCACTCATGCCCCCATCTTAAATATATAACTGACACTCAAATGTCACAAGGGAGATGTTGTAGTAGGTAGTTCTGGGCACTGGCTTGTCCTTTGTGCATGGATCAGACCACCTCTTTGGTGAGGACTGTATGATGGTCAGCAAACCATTTTCACTGGTCTATAAGAGGGCACATTTCACCTATATGCCCCATACACCCACGCTATCTCTTCATAGACGAACCCTCATTTGCCCTGCTGATCAGAGGAACAATGTCTCACTTCACTCCATCTAGAACAATTTCACCCCCGAGCAACTTCTGTTTGATCACATTCTCAATTAGCTTTATCAATGTGCAAACTGGTAATGCTATACTATCTTTATTTGTGTATTTTTAAACATTTTCACTGTTTATACATTTCCTATCTCACAGTGACATTTTTGTTGGAAAATCCACATTATGTGGCACATGTATGAAGTTCACACTATGAGTGCCTTACTTCAGGAAGGGCAGAAGGATTTTCAAACATGGGTCAGAGTCCTCCATGCCGGAAGCCTCTCTGTAACCTTCCTGCCGCTGACAGGAAAGAGGAACTTAGCTGGCCTCTGAGGCACTGAAGTGAACAAGCCCACCACTTTCCACTGTTAACTTTGGTCCTTAACATAAATGTTAGAAACTGTTGAGTGTTGGGAAACCCATGGTTTTATAACTCTTCTCCAAGTAATAAAGTGAGAATTGCTCCCCCCACACTTTTTATTTATTTATTTATTTATTCTGATGAGGCCTCCTGTGCAGTTTTCTTAGTGGTCAATAACTTAGACACATTCTAAGAGTGTGCTTTTTAAATTGTTTTTCCTCCAATTCAAGCTAGAAACAGCCCTTCTCAGTTGTCACCACCACCCGGCACCATCAGGTAAGAAGTGCCGGAGCTTCTGCCATCTGTGGCACGCTGCCAGCGCTGCGAGCTGGTGTGAGCGAGTGTCTGTGGCACCCGGGTTTGTGCCTGCCACACTTCTCAGCACACACCACTTACAGGTCAGAGCAGCACAACTTTTTTTCCCCTTTTCTTTTCTCCTTCTATGAGAAGAGATGACAGTGTGCACATGATGTGTTGAGCGTCTTAACTCTGTATTTTTAACTCCTCTATCTGTATGACTCACTTTCTTCTACTTTAAGTTCCTTTCAGATGACAAGTGCTTGCTACCCTACTTTCAAAATTAACTTTTCTTAGCCCCTACCTGGCTCTCCTTCTCTTCTGTCAAACAAAGCCAGTGACAAAGGGCTACATGTGATGGGAGAAAACTCTGAACTGGGAGTAAAGAGATTATGTTCAATTCTCAAATGTGAAGGAGCCCGAAGACCCCTACTAGTTATTTACTCCCCTTGGAACTTGGTTTCCTTATTTGCAAACTACTTTTGGCTAGATGGTCTCTAAGTTCTCTTGCAGCTCAGCTCTGAGAATTCTGAAGTGCTTAATTCCAATTTCAATGCATCTTCTGAAAGATAGAATACAGTTGTGTTTCACTTAATGTCAGATACGCCTTGTGATAAATATGTTGCCAGGAAATTTTGTTGTGTGAATGTCACTGCCTTCACTTATGTATACTTGAGGGGTATAAACAACTATATACCTGGGCTGTATATAATTAAAACCACTGTCTTAAATGTGGTTTTTTCCTTGACCAAAATGTTGTTATGTCACAGAAGTCTGACTAAGATGCCATCTGTAGGAAATTGTGGGCAAAGAGACATACTGGTCTCTATATATGCACAATTTCTTTATGCACAGTACTCTTTTCTCTACAACCTGTTGATGAATGAGCAAATTCCCAAGGCCATTGTTAGAAATCAAACACTAAAAATACAATTAGAATATTAAATGGATTCATAGATTGGCTAACTCCTTACATTCTACTTTGGTCATACTGGATATTTGTTTATAAAACTGTAATTGGTTAAATGTCCGGATACTGCACTTTTTTAAAAAAGTGGTTTAGGTATAACATTATATTTCAACAAACTATGAAGGAGAAAAAGTGTAACTGAAGACTTTTATGAAAAATATTATAAATATAAATATTTGTACTGTATGCATATTAATTTCTTAATCCTATTGCATAACTTTATTTCAATTTGAAACTAACTCTAACAATTATATTCATTTATTCAATGAATCTATATATTGCTATTATAATAACTACATTGCAAGTAAATGTGTCAGATACTCTGCAGAGAACTATGGATACAAGATGGATAAGACAATTACTCCACCCTTAAAAAGTGATAATCTAAAAGATAAGGAAGCAGTATTTCAAAGAGAAAGCAAACAGTAGCCCATTTCCTTCATGCTTCTAAACATCTATGAAACTTAAAATTTTAAGTAACACTGAAACAGTTATTAGGAGCAACATTTACTAAGCAGTCATAAGCGTGCCAGGCTTAGGGAATCAGAACAAAGAAGAATTGAGAGTAGAGGAAGGTGGTAGTAACTGGGCTGGAGGGAAGCAGCGAGTGCCATCCTAGAGCCTTTCCTTTGTCACAAGGTGAAACCAACATTCATCCTCTAGCTTTGCCAAGCACCTGCCCAAGGAACGTTGATCTCAGGTATTAGTTTATAAAGAAGAGCAATTATTCATTTATTCTGAAACCTATTTCCACAAATCCATTCAATAAGCTTCAGAGGAACTTGCCACATGTATGTATAGCTCTGTTGAACTAGGATCAAAATTAGACATCCCACAGATGGGGTGGAATTTGCAATTAGCTCTTGGATCCTCTTTCTGTTAAGCTGGATAAAAAGAATTTTGAAAACAAAAGAATGAAATATTGATAATATCAATGCTACTTCAAACGCTATTAAGAAAAGTTTCCTATCCAGTCTTCTCTGATAGGCACAGAGGAGATTCTGTGCAAGGGACTGAATGAAAGCAACTAGGGGTGGGGTTGAATATCCTCCCACGGATATTCCATAAAGTACAAGTTTTTCATAGTTCCTGATAATCCTTTAAAGTCTTGAACTAACATGTAGATAAAGGAGTGACTTTGGGAGAGGATGGATGTTATTTGTATTAATGGTTTAGGGATTTGTGTAAGCTACACCCTTTATGTATTTCTACAATTATGAAGCTGAAATAATGCTACCAATAATTTGAAGAAAGCTGGGTAAATGTTCATTGCTCAGTAGTCTGAACCCCAGGTTATTAAAAATTATATTCAAAATATAAAAAACAATTATATTCATAAAAATATCCTATTTAAAATTGTACATGCTTAAGGCACAGGATGTTATCCTCAAAAGTTTATCATTCTGGGAAGTATTCTAGACACTTAAAAAAATAACTAGGATTTTCTGGCAAAAAAGCATCATACATTTATTATTTGCTCTAAGGAGTACCTAAAATATCTTGACATAATTTTTTTTCTTGAACCAAAGTAAAACAGAGGAAGAGTTTGGACTATGTATCATATAGAACTAGACATAGAACTTATAAGAATAAAAACCATCTACTAGCTTAAGTATCTCAAACTCTCCACATATTTCCCATAACAGAGTTTTATTTTGATCTCCTACATCTGAGGTTTAATTTTTGAAAAATCAGAGAAATGTAATATTTTTAATATAAAAGAGACTATAGAAGCACATATTTCAAAGAATTTGAGAAATCAGTATCTTCATATCTTATTTTTTTTTCAAGATTCCCAACAAATCTGAATTACTGTATTGATGACTACCACACTGAACTAAGAACCTTTGGAAAAGGAAGATAAAAGAAAGACTTAGAATAAAATCCTATTTTTGCTTGGAGCTAGTAAAGAAATAAAAGAAGACTTTAAAGTCTTATTTTAAGATAGAAAACACCAACAAAGACATTGAAAGAAAGAGCCTATTGTATTATTATATTAGCTTCCTTTCCTTCCTTTGGCTGAAGAGTATATGCTAGTGTTGGAAGTAGGAGAGTGGGGGTAGAGATACAGAGAGAGAGAAAGAAAGAGAAAGAGATAGAGAAAGAGAGAGTGAGAGGGAGGGAGGGAAGGAGGGAGGGAGGAAGATCTCACAACAGAGACAGAAACAGAGAGAGACTAATCCTTAGCCTTTCCTGGGTGAAGCAACACATCCACTGTTTGGGATAGAGATGACACTGAAGCAACATGCCATTTTGGGGGGACAAAAACCAGCAACAAGAGAGAGATTTTTCTGAAGCTAAAGTATCCTACTTTTCTAGCCCATTTTCTTGAATATTTCTCATGAAGTCAGATAACACTTACAGGTTTGGAAGCATGGAAGAATATAAATGGAAGCTCCCAACTTTGCAGTTTCTTCATTAAAAAGATACATTCTCTTTCCAATATAGAAATTTGATGTCATTACTAAATAAAGTTCTGGAGATCTGTTGATTTTATGTATGATTCATTTGTAAAAGTCATGTGAGGAAAAGGTTTACTCAATTTTCAAACCCTCTTAAACAGCTGAGTAGTTATAGAAACACCATAAACAGTCTGGTGGTGGATCTGAGCCAAGACTCTCCATGCCTTTTGCCTCCCCAAAACTCAAACAGAGAACATAGGCTGACCAGGTTTCTAGAAGACACCATTTAACAGAGGGAAATGCAACCAAGGAATAGATTTGAGGGAGTGGGTCTTACCTTTGGGAAAGCAGCTTCTAGAGTGATTAGGAAGGGGAGCTTATGGCAAAAAATGTAATATAAAAATTAAGTAGAAAAAGTTAATTTTAGGTCATGAAAATAAAGAAAATTTATCATTATACACTGTTCCAAATCCCTCAATCACTCTTTAGTAAGAAGAAATATTAGCATTCACATAGAGATTTTTCTTCAGATCATAATCTACGAAGACTGGATGGTAAGAACTCTTCATAAATTCAAAAAAAATCAGTTGGTGCTGAAATGCTTTAATTCATGAATTTCTGTAGTGACACTTGGAAATTACGGAAACATTCTTTCCCCAGCATGCATTTGAAACAATCATCCTCAGCTACAGGAGTTGTTTAAAATGTTTGCATGCAGAGAATAAGAATTACTAGAAATTTTTAGAGCTAAAATGTTTGGGGGTAAGGAGCTTAGGGACTATTTCAAGGGTTCAGAATAATGGATTGGAAATGTATCATAAAACATCATTGCATGTGACATTAAAAAGTGCAATGGGAAAATGTAAAATTGCTCATACATTTAAGAGGGTGTTGGGAAATGGGTTAAAAAGGTAAAATTGGTAAAAGGGAAAGCAAAAAAAAAAACTACTTAAAAGAGCAGGACAAAATAAATGTTCAAAACTGCTGTGCATCGAGACTCATTTATAGCACCATTTCTCCCCACTTACAGAGTTTGGGAGTAAGCTTTTAGTTTGCTGGGAAAATGTTGAAAATACAACAGATATGATCATCACAATTACTATTCACTTTCAAAAGAATTTTCTGAGGTATTTAAAATACATATTCATTTGGATCTAATATTCTTTGCTAATAAATGCATGTCCTAAAATGACTCAGATTAGTATAAATTCATATCATTTTAGAATTCAAACCTTTTAGAAGGAAAGCTTGACTCCTTATCTTTTGAGTTATCAGCAGTAATCAGAAGGTTCCTCCACAAGGCAGTCTTTGACATTTCATCAGAAATATTGATTACAGATGGATCATCTCTAGATAGGAGTTTACCAAAAATGAAATGAAAAACATTAAATGAGTAACAATTATCTAGTTATAGAAACTAAAATAAAGACCATCTTGTTTCTTTGTACAGTACTTTTGATCATTAAAAATTGAGAAGCAGAGACCGGAGAGATAGCACAGCAAGTGGGGCGTTTGCCTTGCACATGACCGACCGGGTTCAATTCCCAGCATCCCACATGGTTCCCCGAGCACTGCCAGGAGTAATTCCTGAGTGTGGAGACAGGAGTAACCCATGAGCATTGCTGGGTGCGACACAAAAAGAAAAAAAGAGAGAAGCAATGGATAGTTCCCTTAGTTACAGTAAAATAATCTGTGAGAAAAGAAAATCTAATCGAAAGATTCTACTGATAAAGAAACTGATTTTGACTACAGTCTTCCTGACTCATTTCAAATGACAGATACAAGATTCTGTGTTTGCAGTCTCTTGCACGTAAGAGTCTCAAAGTATTGAAGATCACTTTCCTTGTCAGATTACACAATATATCCCAAGCAGTGGTCAATACAAGTAGAGGGTCTGTAATACCCTCACTCTCGAGTCTCATGAGCTGTTTCTTCCTTTTCAGCTATAATATAGAGGCCTTCTAAATCTTCTGGAAAATGTAGGCTACCTTTGGGGACTTTTCCTTACTCTTCTGTCTTCCTCTAATGTGCTTTATAAGGGTCATTTCTTTTATTAAAATGACATCTGATACTAGTCTTTGCTAACTATTAAAATGTCAATTTCCATCCCTCATATGACCCTCATATCTCTTTTTTGTTCTTGTTGCATTTTTTCCTTTTGGAGGTGCTATATATATGTGTGTGTACACATATTTATATATTTATATTGTTTTCTTAGTTATTTCCTATCTCCCCTTACCTCCATTCATTTGAACGAGTTTCATTTGGACAAAGATTCTTGACCATTGTCCATTCCTATTGTCCCAAGACCTAGACAGAGACTAGCAGACAGAGTCTAGAAGATATTTGTTGAACAAATGAGTGTAGTCTATAAGCATATTTTAAAGATCTTCTCAAAAGGTTGGGGTGGAAAAAGGGCAGGTACAGTAGCCTGCAATATTAGAATATATGTTATACTGGGAGCTTTCTTCATGTTTTAAAGTGGTACCAACTAAGGTAACATTCAGATTACTTCAAAACAGTTTCGGGGCTAGAAACACAAACAGCAGCAGAGACAAATTACAGGTTACCAAGGAAATTTCCATCAAATGAGAAAGCAACACTCATTATGTGGAAAACTGCTAGAAAACTCATTATGTTATACAGAAATCCTACACTGATGTTACACGATCATCATTGTTGTTCATAAGAGGACAACAATGTCAACTCTTTAGTCTTAGTAAAACTACAAATCTGGAGCAAAACCATTAGGGTCACAGTCTCCCACCCTGTCCCATCTAGACTTGCCATCGTTATTCCCTTTAATCTATCTCAACTTTGCTTTATATGGAATACAGATATTTCGTAATATTGGGTAACAAAGAATCTTGTAACAAAAGTATTTAGAAATTGCTGATTAAACAAAGTTAAACTTAAAAAACATATAGTACTATTTATATTATTCAACATACTGATGCACAATGAATCTCTAAACTGGAGTGCAGTAAGGGACATTTCAATTTATTTATCCCTGAATCTTTTTGGAAAGGGTAACACATAAGACTAGATCTGTACAGAAAACACATGTGAATGTACTTATTCAAGTAAAATTTAACATGACCTTAAAACCACATGTTGTTTTTTAAAAAGCATTTATACTGCACTCACTCTTAGGTTATAGTTTTCAAATATTAGAAATATTATGTTATATTCATTGATAAGTTTCTCTCTTATTTTGTTTTTAACACCATAACAAATGCCCTCAGGGAAAAAAATCTTCTCAAGTCTTTCTCTGCTATTTTACTGATCATACCTTAAATTATTTATAAGGACTTTAATATACTTCAATACTTCAATATTATATATATAATTCAATACATATAATTTCAGTCACATACTTAATTTTTTCTATCTTTTAGAGAGTTTTAATACTTTTAGGAATTTTTTTATTATGTCTCTGTGCATTAAAAATTGTGTATTTTCCAGCGCTACATAGGTAGCTTTTAAAATGAGTAGCATAAATGAATTCTTCAATTCAGGAAATAAACAACCTCTTTGGAGTGCCCTTTTTCTTATTGGTAGATTCCTAAGTTTAGATATTTATCAATTTATCACCTAAGTTCATTTATACTAGAATTGAATTTGACATATCCTCAGTTACTACCTTATTTCATATATAAATATATGTATACATTTATTTATAGGACACTCCCAGTCAGATACAAGTTAATCTATGATGCTATTTTTGTTTTACTCCTGGCTGTGTGCTCAGGGATCATTTATGGCAATGCTCGGGGGACTGTATATGGTGCTGATCGAACTCAGGTTGTCTGCATGCCAGGCAAGTACCCTACCCGCTGTATTATCTCCCTGACCCTTGATTGCTATTTTTAGATGATATAAAAGGTCGCTTTCGTAAAAAATATAGAAATAAAAGACTTCAGACAATAGCTCCCTTCCTTTATTCATTTAAAACTACTTAGCCGTAGTCACATAATAATTAGTGACAGAACTTAGAAATGGAATAGTGTAACCTAATTGATCATTTCAGGTCTTTCAGCTCTAACTCAACTACAGTAAAAAAATAAAAACCTCTGTAGGAATCTTTTCAGTGCAACTCTTATGTAGCATTTATAACAACACATTCCAGTACTCAAATTGGTACATATTTTCACATTTATGTCTTACCGATAATGCCCTTCCAGTGGAAGCTGTACTGTGCCCTCCTCTTCCATAGCTAGCATGCTTTGTTCTTCCTAGAAAGACAAATATAAAATATATAAAGTGAACCTGATGAATCTCCATTTAACATTAAAGAAGAAACACAGATTAATGTTTCACTATCTCATTAACCTCAGGACCTTCCACTTTGTTTGTATTTATTAATGCTATCACAGGTCCTTTCAATAAAGCATCAGCTACCAAGAACAGAAGTAATTAATGAGACTCTTATTACCACAAAGTAATCTAAATGTTAACAACCATCTCCTTCATGTCACTCAATATAAAACATGATGAATTTCCAAGCAAAAATTTATCTAATTTTTACAAGAACTAAACTTTAGGTAATGTAATAGGTTTCGTCGTTATAAAGTTGAAAGTACACATTCCCAGGTCCTCAGTCTAGAGCAATGGTTCTAAAACTGTAGTTTATACAGGAATCATCTGCAGTGTTAGTATGAATTACAAATTGTTGGGATGGTGAGAAATCACAAGAGGTAATGCACTTGTCTTACACATGAATGATCCTGTTTCAAATACCCAGTACCACATATGGTTCCTCAAGTACCTCCAGGATCATTCCTGAGCACAGAGCCATAATCCCACCTTCATCCTTCCAAACTGCAAATAGTTGAATGCATTTCTAGAGATATCTGATTCAATGAATCAGAGAAGGAGTCCCATATGTAAGTCTGAGAAGAGAGAGCTGCAATTCTCAGGTGATGCCAATTATACTGACTTGCACATCACTACTTAATTTTTGTTTTGTTTAGTTTGGGGACTCCACCTGACAGTGCCTCAGATCTTGTTCCTGGCTCAGTATTCAGGTATCACTCCAGGTGGGATTCAGGGCACTATATGGGGTGCTGGGGATTGAATCCAGGTTGGTCACCTACAAGGCAAGCATCTTGTTCATTGTACTATCTCTTCAGCCCTGAGTTCACCACTTTAGAGTCTTGCCAAGACAAAATAATGCTCAGGCCCAATCCTGGAAGAGCCTCAGAGACCAAACTTAGTGCTGAGGACAAATTCAAATTTCCTGCATGCAAACAGAGACCCAGCCCTTTGAGGTAATTTCCCAGCTTCTGTTGTAGTTTATGGTTAACTGGAAATAAGATGTCATGAAGTTGGGTAGAACGATCTAACCTTAAAAAAGTAAAACTTTAAGTGACTAAAGAATAACATTTCCCCTCATGCTTAAACCTAAGGCTTAAGATTCAATCTTAATAGTCAGAAATTAGACCAAAGCTTTGGGAGCAATTCTGTTTTTCCTCCGGATGATTTTCCACTTTTCTCTCAAATTGCTTTCAATAATTATTTTGCACTCTGTGGCTTGTTAGCATGTGTGGGCTTTATACTAGTCATAATTCTATCCAAACAAAAACTCATCACCTCTAAAGATAGCATTTCCAAGCCATGCTTATCTGAAGAGAAGGGTGGCAGAGCAGCCGCTGCCTTCAGTGCCAGAAGGAAGCTGGGTGGGCCCTGGAGCCTGGGGAATGGAGGGCCGGCTGCAACCCAGGCAGCACTAAGACAAGCCAAAATCTGAGACTTCCTGGGGAGAATCAGTGAAACAAGGGTATAGCCATCATGACAAACACAGTCTAGTTTATCTCAATCATACAGAAAAAAAAATGTGACCATAAAACTAACTGGGTGATCATCACTGTGTAAGTCAGAAATATCTTAAAATGAGTTCCATGCCACACTTCATTTATCCAAGGTACACAGAGTTCTACAACATGGTAAAAATGTCCAAAGGCTGATGTTTAAAGTTTGTTTAGCCAAGAATGCTTAAGAAATTTTGCATATTTAAATGAAGAAATATTTATACTGATTTAAATATTGTGTTTTAATTTGTATAGTTAAAGCATTTTTCAGGTACTAAAGAAGTGAAAAACAATTAATGGTATAGTTTTTAAAAGACAGAAAAATCCAGACTGGGTTGTGACTCAGTGGTGTATATTTGATTCCCTGGCTTCAGCTTCAAGTCACATACAAAAAAATTTAAAGTCAGGAAAATAGAGGTTTGAAAAACTAATCTATTCAACAGTGCTCAGTGAATGTATGCTGCATACTGGGTACATAGTGAATAAGAATAATCCAGAATCTATTCATTAATCCTCTCAATAAATATGTATTAAACATGACCTACACGATAGTCTTCTAGGTTCATGGGAAATACTAATGAAATTAACAACATAACCCTTACTCTCAGAAGACTACAAAGATCTCATAAAAACATACAGAAACAGCAGAATCAGTGTTATATGATCGTTTGGTTACCGAAAGGAAGAAACTCTAATGGGAAGAAAACAGTGGGCCAAAAATAAAAGGTGAGGTGGGGGAAAATGATTCCATAACAAAGAAAAAGTAGCCCAGCTAGATCCAAAATCTAACTGAATAAACATGGAAAATAAAATTTGAGCCAAGTTATACTGCATGGAGTGCCATATATTTGCATCATGAATATGAACTGTACTTTGTTATCACATAAAAATACAACTTGAATATTAATAAACCTAGAAAATATCCTGCCTTAATGAAATAAGAAGCAACTTTCACTAACTCCATTCCGCAGGTAAAGTTTTACCACATAGTAGCTCTTGAATAGCTCAAATACCAACAGCTGAGAATCAATATTCACAAAAAATGCTCAGACTATTAGAGACAAAATATTAATTCATTTTAGGATTCATAGGTCCTAAGAAATGGGAGGGGCTTAAAAGGTCAGTTTTGACCCTCAGTTGCATCCAATAGGAAAACAAAGTTAACAGAACATAGTTAGAATCTATTTACTTCCATAATTACTAAGACATTTTTAATAGGTAATGCTGTAAACATTACATATATACACATATCATAATGCAAAATAAAATGTTTTATTTTAGGTAATCCTAAAATTTATAATATGTGGGCTGGAGCAATAGTACAGTGGGTGGCAGTTGTCTTCCACAGTGCTGACCCGACTTTGATTCCAAGCACTTCATATGGTCACCCAAGCCCACCAGGAGTGATCCCTAAGTGCAGAGCCAACAGTAAGACCTGAGCACTCCCAAGTGTGGCCCAAAAGCAAACAAAATAATTACAATATATGGAAAATCCAAGACATAGGGATGTGTAGTACATATGGAATTCTTATAAATAAATGGCCAACAAGATTTAATTAAATTATTATAAAATTTAAAAATTCTAAGAGTATTATTGGGTCTAGGAGACTTTATTCTGGAGATATAAGTTCTAAGGGATTTTAGAAAAGATTTATCTCTAATTTTAATATCCATCAGTAATAACTGGAGAGCTTGTTGATTCATATTTCCAGCCCAGTCCCTAAATTATTATTTGATTCATTAGGTTTGGAGTGATGTCCAAGAATTTGCACATATATTACATTTCAAGGTGTTGACTGATGCAACCAAAGTGCTGAGACTATACTTTGAAAATCTGAAGAAAATGAGAATGCTGACTTCACCTAAAGTTTTAATTAGAAATAATATTTGTGTGACAATAGGCCATGCTTTCTGAATCCAAAAATCAATTCTGACCTTTCTTAGGAGTAAGAAATACGATGTAACTTGTTTAATTGCACTCATTTTCCAATTACCACTGCTCCTTAACCTTTCTCATGGTCCTATTTTAGAAGCTCAGAAGTCCCACTTGTCCCTTTCTGTTTACTTCTATAGCACATAGGTTAGAGTGAACCACTATAAACCAAGATCAGTCAATAACATGATCACTGCTCACAGTTGAATTTCCAGAATTTATTTAACATTAACCATCTTCTTCCACACTCAGGAGCAAACATTCTGCCAGGGCTTTTGGTTTTAATAGCAGTCCTTTTGTCAAATGTGTTCAATGTCCTCAAGAATATTTAAGTAGAAAAGAAGGCATGTTGGTACTCTGAGCACATTTGGACATCCAGAATTTGATTCTGCAGTCTTCCCTTTACACAGAGCAATGTGCAAAATGTCAGGGTTCCAATATTCATTTCTATCCTGATTATAATCCTTTCTTTCTAAAAACTGAAGCATATGCATATGCATATGCATGAAGTACATGAAAATTTGGAACAGAAGCTCTGCGACCTTGGACTGGCCTGTGTAGCTATTTATTCTGCTTAACTCATTATTGAATTTTAAGGTCAAACTAATGTTTTCTCAATGCCATAAGATCAGAAGTGGGCTACTGATAGGAAAACCCTGGTGGATAATAGTACAAGCTTGTAACTATCATCAAAGGGACAAGAGGTGAACCTACTTTAAATTCAAGTTTCAGGGAGCTGAGACATTTCTGCTATTTACTATTTTTTCCAGATCACAATCAGAATTACTCAACTAATTTGCGCAGTTGAGGAAATTCAACATTTCTGGAGCACTCATTCAGTTCTTATGAACTTAATTGTCCTACTGTATTGCACAATCTCTTGCAAGGCTAGGCCTTACTCTAGAGGTCACAGTAAGATGATCACATCCTTCTGCAGAGCTTGCCCTCAAAAAAATGAAAAACTGATATCTGGATGACCAGGTAGACAATGAACCAAAATTTATGCTTTAGTCTAATACTTCTTAAAACTTTCTGCTCTCTACAGTAATAGTATTCTTCATAGTAACATCGAGTTTTAAAGTGAACATCTTTAAGCTTCAGTTTTTCTCTTCAGTTGTCAAATGAGTTCTCTTCCTTTTCACTGTCTAGAACTATATTTTAATGTTAAATCATAGATAATTTTCAATGTATTACTATTTTCCTTGTTTCCCTACATACATTGAAGATCATACGAAAGTACCATCATATCAATCTATTTGAGATTTAAAGACCTGTGAACTTTCCCAGTTATCCTATTAGTGTATTTACTCTTACTGTTTTCTTAATCTCCTACCTGAAAAACATTGCTGTAAATTTATCTCAATACATCCTTATTTTTATATCCTTTTGAAAACATGTTTTAGTAAATTTAGTAGTATTTAATTGCTAGAAAAATATCTTCATAATTATAAAATAGTGACACCCAATAGAGTGGGGGTGACTCTATAATGTAAAGGGGTTAGAAGTTCATTACACAAGTCTCTATCTGAGATAAACAAATTTCAGAATGGACATATGGCACACCTACCTTTAAGTACATACAATACTCAGCTATAAGTGCTTACGGGCAATATAGATGCTGTTAAATATATGACTACTACTAAATGTTTCTCTCCTATTTCACAGACATGTATAAAAAAAACCTGAGATTTTCTTTGAGTGATAAAAGGAAAAATATTAAGCATAATATATCATACAATCAAATTAGTTTTTAATTTTCAAAGTTCTGAAAGGACAAGAAATTTTTATTGCATGGTATGCCTGAAGAAGAAAACTGTAGAAGGGGTAATTATATAGCTGGAGCTGTTGCTAGCTTATTTGTACAGAAATAAAATAAAGATATTAGACAGGAAATCAAAGCAGGAAAATGAGGCAATAATACATTTTTAAGTAAATGTGTTAGTATACATAATAGTATTTTTATTATCAGAAAAAGTGAGAAGCTCATGACCAATGAATTTTTCACTTAAAATTATCTTGTTTGGAATTCAAACCTTCTTGTAAAATATTTTCAACATGGAAATTTTAATTATGTCAAGTGTAAATAATTCAAGGTTTCAGAATTTCCATATTCTGATACCTATGTTATCTACATTTGCATTTAATGCATACCTAATCCTTTCATATCCTTCTTTAATAGTATCTCAGAAAGAGTAAATCTTTCCTAATGTCACAAAACATAAATAAGAAACACAAAAATCGCAGAGATCCCGGCCGGCAGAGGATCTGACCCTCCCAAGAAGACACCCTTTCCCCCACCCCCACCGGTGAATAAAGAGCTTTGATCCTAAAAAAAAAAAAAAAAAAAAAAGAAACACAAAAATCTCTAGCTAAAGCATAGGAAAATCTTTCACTATCACTTTTAGAAAAACAGAAATAAAGATGTCTATTATATGGTATTATAAAGATATATTAATATTGCTAGAATTCTGATCACAAGTATACCTACTATGATATTTAGTAAAAGTGAAATTTTCATAAAGAATATATAAGATACATCATCGTGATCAATCTCTAAATCACTGTACCCATTCTCAGTAATGGAACACCATTGAAAACTAAAGAAACTACAGATGGCACGCATTATATAGTCAGTCATACTGGTAGAGGTAAAGTAAAGGTAAAGGTAAAGGCCCTCCCGTTGATCATCGATTTGCTCGAGCGGGTCCAGTAACGTCTCCATTGGAGACTTTGTTGTTACTGTGTCTGGCATATCAAATACTCTCGGTAGCTTGCCGGGCTCTCCGAGAGGGGCGGAGGAATCGAACTCGGGTCGGCCATGTTGGCTGCATGCAAGGCGAACGCCCTACCCGCTGTGCTATTGCTCCAGCCCTAGAGGTATTGGAACAGAAATTACATTCACTATATCTCATAATCTCAGGGCATAATCTGCCATTACCTAGTAACTGACTAAATTCTAAATTCAAAGAAATGTTCGTAAATAAATTCCACAGAGGAGAGAGGAATACATCTATGGTTTGAGAAAATAAACTAAGGTAAGAAACTAAAATTTATGGCTCATCTTGTGAAAAAAGGAAAAGTTGAAAATATACTGAACAATTCTATCAACTACTTTCTTCCCTACCCATAATTTTTATTAGAATGGAAAATTTTTTCTTATGTTTTATAGTCTGGTTTTCTTGTGGTTTAAAGAACTCATTCTAAATAACTTACTTGACATTTTTTCATTAAATATTCATAGTTTTTATACACTAAAAGCAATATGATTAATAGATTTCAAAATAGACCCAGATTTACACACAAAGTCAAAACTCTAAAAATTTATTGTTTTAACATATAAGACAATAGGATAAATGAGTAGTCTGTAAAATCACCACAGTTTCATAAACGATAGTTGATAGTCAGCAATCTTAAATCACTTCAAAAGCAAATCAGATCAATCTGTGTTCTGCTAAAGCATTTCACCTCTTACAATAACTATTTTTTCCTATTGTTAGAATTAGAATCTTATATTTAAAACTTTATTCTCTAGAAAATATCAATAATAATACCTTTTCTTATATAGTCAACTAAAATCAATAATAATACCTTTTCTTATATAGTCAACTAAAAATCAATCATTGCATGACCATAATTTGTAAACAGCTAACTATCAGCTAGTATCTATCATGCACAGGGAAGAAATTTTAAAACATATACTTAGGATGATAATGAAATATAAAGTATCTGCATATTTTTCTTTTTTTCTTTTTTTCTTTTTGGGCAACATCTGGCAATGCTTAGGGGTTACTCTGGGCTCTACACTCAGGAATTACTCCTGATGGTGTTCAGAGGACCACATTCAATGCAGGGATCAAACCTAGGTCAGCTGTGTGCAAGGCAAGTGCCCTATCCACTTACTATCTCTCCAGCCCCTTGCATTTTTCCCTATGCTTTAGTACTTACATAACTTCTGTGTTTTCTCTATTAAAGTTCCAAATTTATTACTTTAAACATTATCTTCCAAAGAAATCTTCATACGAATATTAGTGTAACTAGCCAATAATAAATGATCACTTGATCATTTGATATCCCGTTACTCATCTATTTGCTTGAGCGGGTGCCAGTAAAATCTTCATTTGTTCCTGTCGCATGCTACTGTAGCCCAATGGCATCTGCTCGCTACAGGAACATGAAGAGCCTCAAATCGTTTGTTCATATGCTCGGGCTGAGTCTCACGGGGGGGGGGGGGGGGGGGGGGGGGGGGGGGGGGCCGGGGCGGACTGTCCCCAGTGCGCCCTGGGCGGGTCGCGCCGTCGGGTCTAGGGGGGTTTCCGAGGCCATGCCGCCACCGAGCAATAATAAATGTGATTTATTTTTGCAAAGAGTTATTAATGCTCTTTTTACATTTTTCTTTACAGATCATGATTTTCCTTTGACTTACTTCTTTTTCAGCATCTTCTAGTTTCTTTTTCTTGCTTTCAGGCATTAAGTCATCCAACCAGCTGAGTTCCCGTTTGGTAAACAAAAAATCCATCAACTTTCTTACAAATACCAGAGCTAACACCTGCAGAAAATAATAAAATAATAAAATAAAACGGGGAAAGAATAAGTAGGAGAGGAGACTGTTGATTTTAAAATAGAAACAAGCTATTTTCAAATAGAGCTTCCTTTAAAGTGTAATTTGAAGATATTTATATACACACATGTATATAAAAGATATTGTATTGACTGTACATTTTCTTCTTCATTTCTTCTTCTCACAAAGTCTCCAGTATAATGATTATGTCTTTCCATTTTCTTTTAGTAAGATTTGTTTTTTTGTTTCACACCTAGCAGAGCTCAGAACCCAGTTACTCCTTGCTCTACACTGAGGGATCACTCTTGATGGGGCTTTGGGACCACATGGGATGCTGGACAAAGAACACAGGTGGGCCACATGTCCGCCTCTTTACTATCTCTCCAGCATGCTTTGACCCACAAAAAGTCATTAAAAAAAGTTTTCCCAAAAAAGCCAAGTATAAATCATATTTGACTTTCCTTAAGTAGATATAGCTAATAGATTGCATTATTAATGATTTCAACCATTCTTCTCTGTTCATAATACATATAAATTATTTGCAGTCATTCAAATTCACTATAGTTCACAAATATCCAAAATTTGAAATACTTAATGAATTTTAAGTCTCTTTGTTTTATTTACTTATTTTGGTAACTTTTTTTACCCAGCTTCAATTAGTTCAAACCACTGCCAATAATCATAATAATAGAGAAGAAGCTAATGAGACAGTGTAATTCATGTATAATCTCCAACCCTAACTTAGTCACAGTTTTAGTGGATAAAATGTATAAAAGACTTCATATCATTTTTTCAAAAGACTATTGCTCCAATTTTAGCTCATATGTTCCCAAAGGAAGCAAAATATCAGAGAAAGAAAAAATAATAATTGACTGAGAAGTTTCATACCATCATGGGGAAGACAATAGCAGCTCTTGAAACTTTTATTATCCACAAAAGACCTAGACAACTCATCTGAATAACTGTGAAGAGGTGAACTTTTCGAAGTGGTACATGTCTTAAATATATAAAATCTGGTTGATGTTTTGCAGGCATCCAGAAGAGCTTTATTCTATCAAACAACTAAAAGGTAAACAAAGTAAGGTGTTTCATCCAGAAAACAATAAAAAAGAAGACAATTAAATGCATACAATTATTCAAAATATAACATATCTGGATCACCTTCAGTTAAAATCTAGATATCAGGATAATGAAATTGTTATATACACTGAAATTCAATGACTTCTGTTTCATTCACACATATGCTTGAATATGGAGACAGAATGTAACTTGGAAAGGCTTAAAAACATGAAAACCAAAGCTAAATGTTGCTTGAGAGCTTGTTTAGAATTCTAGTCGGGGAGCACAGCTACCTCACACCCTCCACTAGTCTCTCCTGGGGAAAGCCAGTTCTCTTCCAGAAAGAGGTACTTGGAGTAGTATGGGAGGAAAGGGACAGTCAAATCAACCCTGGTAATCAGTGACTCAGTGGGATGATAGATGTCACAGTCAGGTGGCCCCCACATCCTTAATGTTGTTAGTTGCAAAATTATAACCTTGAGAAATAAAACGTAAATCCTCCTCCCCTTTATTGTCACATCTCATTCTATTCCTTTATGCCCCACTTAAGCAGTAAGAGTTTCAATTCTCTGGCTCCCATCCTCTTGTCTCTGAGATATTTCATTCATATCCAGGTTTACATTTTCACATAGATGCTACAGACTCTTAAGCTTGAACACCTATTTCAGCTCTCTTCTCCTGAGTTCCAGACCTAAATCCACAGTAGAGAAGGACGTTTTGACCTAAACTTGACTCTGCTGTTTTGGTCTTGTTAATGTGATACTTTGCAAGGTTGTTGATGCAGCCTTTAAAAACATAAACATGTTAGCTGTAAAGATTTAACTTCGGTAAAATTTTGGTAAAATTCTCCACAGAAAATATTGTTAATTTAATTTCTCTATCAACTTCCTATTCTGCCTTGTCAAATCATTTACATATTTTAAAATGCAGTATAATAAAATAATTTTATCGGCCGAGCCGGGTTTGATTCCTCCGCCTCTCTCGGAGATCCCAGCAAACTACCAAGAGTATCTCGCCCTCATAGCAAAGCCTGGCAAGCTACCCATGACGTATTCAATATGCCAAACACAGTATCAACAAGTCTCACGATGGAGATGTTATTGGGCCCGCTCAAGCAAATTGATGAACAACAGGAGGACCGTGACCATGACCGTGAATAAATTCATTTAAATTTTAGCATAAAGAGTATAATTGTTTTGAGCAAAATAATATTATTATTCTAGATTCAAATTTGACACCATTTTAACAAGTAAAGGAAAAAATTGTTTTGGTTTTTGGGCCACAGTACTCAGGGTTGTTCCTGGCTCTGACTTTAAGGATCATTTCTAGTGGGCTTGGGGAACCATATGTGGTTCCAGAAATCAAACCCAGGTCAGCGCCATAAAAGGTAGCTGCTGTACTATCTCTCCAGCACTCAATCAAAGCAAATATTGTTAATCTGAATTTTTTTGTAATTTAATATAACCATAGTTTAAGTATAATTTTTTGTGTTTTCACAAGAAGTTTAAATATTCAATAATATTTACTCTTCAGCAAATTGTTCTGCTTGTTAGCTTTATTTTATGTTGATCATTTAGTTAGAGCTTTCTCAGGCCAATTTTTGAAGTTTTCAATATATAAAAAAAGGTTGCTGGAAATGTGGAACACATGTCTTGTATGGTTGAGGAACTGGGCTCCAACCTTGACATCGCACCTGCACAAAAATGATTATTTATAAAATGATGAATATATTTACTTTAGTTCTACTTTATTCCACTTAAAATTTCACATCTATAAACCATTTTCAAAGGAGCAATATTAGGTTTTAGTTCTTAGTTAAGGTAGAATAAAATCATTAGCCATTTTGATGAAAATTCTCTAATTTGCTGAGGCACAGACATAAATGGAATTAAATGTTAGAGTACACACATCCTGTTTGATAAAAACCTGCTTTTGAGTGTAATAGGAAGTTCAAACTCATTTTAAAGTCATCTTTCTTCTTTTTTTTCTTGTCTAGTATTTTTTGTTTTCAGTAGTTTATCTAAGGAAAATCATGTAGGTTAGTTTATCCCATGTTGATTCACTTATTCACAGTCATTAAACCTTTCAAATAACATTTACAGAAAATCTTCTGCATAGAGTGTAAGTGTTCTTTTCTGCCTTATCCCTCCCTATGTAATCCACAAATATTTCATGAAGTATTTTTACTTCTTTCACCTGAATATCTCTTAATATTACATGCCATTAAAAATGAATAAAACTTGTTCACAGAGAAGATAGGAATAGGACAAAAATAAATTCTCTGACTTATAAAATATATTTAGTTTCTATAGAACTGATTTTTTTCCAGCCATCATTTTTTTCCATTTGTGAAGCTATGTAATTACATAAGTGTACTTCAGTGTGTGGGTGCTTCACTTGTTATTGACTAAATGGCACCTTTGCTTTGAATTCCAGAAGTGTTGGAAAAAATATAATGTGGCTGTATATCTCAGTACAGAAACAGCATTCCTAAGAACACTGTGATTTTTTTCTGCCATGTTGCACAGTGAGAAGTCTAGATAATAAGTTTCTTAATATTGCCAAACAACCAGGTTATATATATATATACATATATGTGCATATATATGTATGTATATACACACTAAAGTATAATGTAAAAAAATAATTGTCTTCTTGAACTATTAGTATTCCATATATTTTGCATTTGGCTTTTCTCTTATTCTGATACTAACATTCCATTTCTCATTCTGTTTTTCTTTCTAGATTCTACTTTCTGTTCCATTTGTGCTACTTAAAGCTCATTATCCTATTTCTCATGGGTCTATAATAATGTTTTCTTCAATTTTCATTTGAAAGATTCACACCCCAAATAATTGCAAAATTTGACATTCTTGTTTAATTCTAAACCTCATGGATATAAAATCATGCAAGTGGATTAGGGGAAAAATCTGTTGAAACCTATCAAAATGATTTTACTTTGTTTCTTAACTTCTGCTGCTGTATTTATGTGAGCCTGGGGCCTAATAATAAATACTGTTCATTTACGGATGAAATTAGTACTCATAGAACTTTTGCCAAAGGCAAAAAACAACAACAACAAAAATACCAGTAAAACAAATAAACAAAACCTCTTCAGTACTCTTTCCTATATCTTACAAAACTAATTATTTTAAAACACACATGCATGAAATTATAAATAAGCAAATTAAAATAATTTGATTGAAATTAAGATGCATAACACTTATCAAGAACTCTTCCAGATTAATTTTACCCAGTGCCAGGATGAATAAAATCATCCTATCTACTTTAGGTATTCATTGATCTTATAATGACTCCATCTTGAAATTTTGCCTTAGTTCTGAAATCTAGCAATGCCCTAAGATCTATGTGTTTTCTCAGCTGCTTACTCATTCAGAAAGAGTTCTCATTCAATCTGTTCCTCAGTGTTGAGAATTTAGCCAAGATAGCCTCAGTACTGCTGCCTCAGCATATATTTCTTTTACCAGGCTGCCAATCTGGATCTTAAATTGACATTAGTCCTTCACATAAGTGCAGCCTCTAGAGTCTCTGTTAATTGTAATTTTATCGTATGAATTCCCCAAAACTCTATGATCAATAGACTCCCCATCCTTTCCCCTTGTTTTCCTCTTAAATAACTTCCCTCTGAGTCTTAACAAAATTCCACCCTAGGGACCTCAAAGTACTTCAGTCTCAAGACTGAGTGAAAGCATGTCCAGGTCCGGTACCTCTCTCTATTGTCTTAACTTCCCAATTTGGCCCCACAAAATGTGCCAGTTACTTCCACCAGGCAGGTGATAAGCTTCTCTATTTTAATTCCCCTTGATCTGTTACTGAACCACACTTTACCGTTCAGCTTTTTGTACTCCATTTCAAATGTCAATTTGTTTAATATCCAAGTGACTTTCTGTTCATATATCTTTCAAGAAGAATGGGCCTATTTCATTGAAAAAGCAGAAACTTGCATTTTTCTTTTATACAACACAAAAATAAAATATGCAATGAATGGCTTTTTCAAAGCACTATTTTTTTAAAAAAAAAAGGTAAGTGTTGGGTTATGCAAAGCTATAAAATCAAATTATTCAAAAGTTATATTCAAGTAGAAATATGCACTTTTACTAGCACTGCCATAGTTTCCTAGCACTGATATAATAAAATACCACAAGTTGTGGCTTAAAAATAGTAGAAATTTTATTTCTGGTAGCTGTGGAAGCCAGAAGTCTGAAATCAAGGTGTTGACAAGGTCATTTTCTTCTAAAAGTCCTAGGGAAGAAATGTTCTTTGATTGGTTCACCTCCTGGTAGCTCTAAAAGTCCAATCTCTGCCTCCATTGTCATGTGATCTCTTTCCTTTTTCTAATAAGGACCCTTGTCATTGGATTTAGGACTGATTCTAAACCAAGATAAAGCTTAGCTTGAGATAATAAGTTTCATCAGCGAAGGCCCTATTTCCAAATTATTTCATATTCTTAGACTCCAGATAGACATGAATTTGGAGGATACTATCCAATCCAACACGGTATCAGAAGCAGGATTTGACAACAGGCCCTGTAAAGATTTAGAATAGAATTTAGGTGGCTTTGAAATATATCCCAAACTTATTTGCTGTATCTCAAATATCTTTGACAGATGGACTCAAAGTTCCCTACCCTATTGTGCAAGCCGCACATTCTGATTCACCTCTAACAGAAGTACTGGGGTTGACCTTACAGAACAAATCAAAAGGCATCCACTTCCCTCTCCTATTGCTCATTTGGGTGGAAATTAGTTTCCAGGTTATGGAACAACTCATGTGACAAAAAATTGAGGCTTTCTTTGACTAATAAATGTTTAATATAGATTTTAAAAAATTGAGGCTTTCTACCAAGAGGAAGCAATGTCTGTTGCTGTGCAATAAGTCATTCTACACATGCGTCTTCCAACCATATCCAAGCAAACCTTCGGAGCACCTTATACATACATTGTCTGTCAGCCCCCACATATGTTGTCTTGAGCCAGAACCACCTAGTTAATCTGTAAGTTTATGACTCACAGGTAAAGGTAAAGGTAAAGGCCTCCCGTTGTTCATCAATTTGCTCGAGCGGGCCCAGTAACATCTCCATTGGAGACTTTGTTGTTACTGTGTCTGGCATATCGAATACATCACGGGTAGCTTGCCAGGCTCTGCCGTGCGGGCGAGATACTCTCGGTAGCTTGCCGGGCTCTCCGAGAGGGGCGGAGGAATAGAACTCGGGTTGGCCATGTTAGCTGCGTGCAAGGCAAACGCCCTACTGACGTGCTATCGCTCCAGCCCATCGCTTCATTTCATTTCAAAAGTAATTGTCATATAATATATTAAAAAATAATAACAGGAAAATTTTTTCTGCTTTGTTTTATGCCATGAGCTTATTACTTTTATGGTGATTAATTATTACTTCTAAATAAATGTATCACTGTATCACTGTCATTCCTTTGTTCATTGACTTCTAAATAAATGTATCACTGTATCACTGCCATTCCTTTGTTCATTGGAACGATAGCACAGCGGTAGGGCGTTTGCCTTGCACGCAGCCAACATGACTCACAGAAACTTTGAAATTTAAAAATGTTTTAAGCAACTTCATTTTATAATTTATTTTGCAGCAAGAATTTAAACTAATTATTTAAGTAATGTTTGATCAATTAATAAAATTTCCCTATTCTTCGAAATTATCCTATACCTTCATTTCATTTCAAAAGTAATTGTCATATAATATATTAAAAATAATAATAACAGGAAAAATTTTTCTGCTTTGTTTTATGCCATGAGCTTATTACTTTTATGGTGATTAATTATTACTTCTAAATAAATGTATCACTGTATCACTGTCATTCCTTTATTCATTGATTTACTCAAGCAGGTGCCAGTAACGTCTCCATTCATCTCAGTCCTGAGATTTTAGCAGCCTCTCCTTACTCGTCTTTCCTAACAAGTGAAAGCTCTTTCAGGGTCAGGGGAATGAGACCTGTTATTGTTACTATTTTTGGCATATCAAGTATGCCACGGGGAGCTTGCCAAACTCTGCCATGCAGGCGGGATACTCTTGGTAGCTTGCCGGGCTCTCCAAGAGGCATATATATTAATTTCTCTCTATGATTTATTGCCTACTGTCTGAATTCCACCAAATATGGTGTGGTAATTATGGAAAATGGGTAGGAAGTGTTTTATGATGAGTCTTTACATTCATAAACCTGACCACTTTAAAAATATTTATGATGTCATTTTCTTAGCTATCACATGAAAGCATCAATGAACTTTAAGGTATGTTATCACAGATATGCCTGTTTTACTATGTAAATAATTACCTGAATTCCCTTTAGTGATGAAGCACCCATATAAAGAAATACTCCATATAGCACTGGCATGGGAATAAACTGTAAAGACACAATGGAAGAAAGATACACATTATTTTCAAATATAATATCTCGCTATTTTGCTAAAGAAACACAAACATGTACAAAAAAATTTTTCAAGCAGCATAGGACAGAGTCATAAGACATGGGTTCAAATCCCAACTCTTAATACTCCAGCAGTAACATTAAGTTCATTACTGAAGTTATCTCTGCTTTAGTTTCTCAAAATCTAAAATGGGAATTAGGGTTAATAGAGTACTTAATAGGTCAAAACATCTAATTATATATGATAACTAGTAAATAAGAAATATTATGTTGCCATGCCATTTTAGAGAGAAATTTGAATTTTATTTCACAGTGGCAAGATATTTAGATTAAAGGTAAGAAATTGAGTTCACAGCTTAAATCCTACATTATACCAGACATTTGTAAACCAATGAATTATTCAGTTTCCCCCTTTTAATTGGAATAGCTCAACAACATTCTAGTCCTACCATTACATAACATAAATTAATTCTGCATATCTGTTATGTCAATGGTAAATGCAAGAAAACTTGTAAAAATGATTAAGTAGTTCAACTAAAATTTCTAATCATATTTGAACTGTAATTTCAATGTTTATTTAGATGATATACATATTTTGATGTTAGTTGCAACTAACATGACTTATAATTTAAAATACATCACACTCGAAATAAGTGCAAAATTTAAATGGCAAAAAATTACTTTTATAGAATAGTCAAATGGGAAATCTTAGTGAATTTACCTTCAAATAGATTTGATTTTTAATTTTTTTTTGGAGAGGGCCACCCCCCGTTGTGCTCAGGGATCACTCTTGGAGTGCTTGGGGAACCATATAAGGTGCTGGACATTGAACCTGGGTCAGCTGAATGGAAAGCAAACATTCTACCCACTGTACTACTGCTCTGGTACCAGGATTTGATTCTTTTAAATGTGAAAAATTAAGTAGATACAATGCTGATATCCATGTAGTACTGCTAAATTTTTGTATGTGCTTTTGACCATGATGTTGTTTATCTCTGCATCTCTAGCTTACATCAAGTAATACCAATCGCTGACAAGAAAAAAGAAACTTCATTTCATGTAGAACTGCACAATGACTTTTCCCATAACTTGACCTCCATTTCAAAATTAGAAGACTAATTTACACATTAAATTTCAATTTGCAAGACTAAATTTTTATGTTTAAAGATTCTATGATGTAACACGTAATTTTCCTTTGTTAAAAGGTTATATTAATGTGAATAAAAAACTCACCACATGCCATACGATATTTGCAAGTAGATGGTTTATATTCAAAAGAAATAAAAAGGAAATTTTTTAATATAGTCTATCTTGTCTCAAATGTATAAAGGCAGATTTTATTACCTTAAGAATGCTGGTCATAAAGACTGATGAACCCATAAGGATAAAAATCATAAGTCCAGTAACCCTTTGCTCCCGAATGCCAAGAAATTTGGGTTGTTCTCCTGGAGCTGAACATTCTGATTCCAGTTTGAGGCTGTTGACATGAGTAATGGAGAGAACCGTGGCAGCCACAAACCACGGCAGGCCCATGATGGAGCACACACCAAGCATGACCGCCACCATTAATAAATCCAGATGGTACCCACAGCCTTTCTATTGAAAAAGAAAAGAGGATTCTCACAGGATATGGATATAGTATAGAACCAATGACACCACCATGGAACAGTAGATTTGAAAAGAAATACTATCATGAGTCTTCTACAATTCATTCTAAAGTGCAAAATAAATTAGATATGAAGGTAATCACTCAAAATATATAATCCACTCAAAAAATTGTGAGTTTCAGGACAATTATGATTTCTATAACTTCCACATAGTCTAGTAGATATCATATATTCTGGGTTAATATAATTTAAGTTTCCACTAGGCTTCTATAGGATAAGACATTCCAGGCATAGTCACTTCATATGGGCAAGTTAATTTTGATGGGCAAGTTAATTCACAACTGCTGTAGCTCTTAATTTATTCACTATATGTAATTATTTAATATAAAATTACTTATAAGCAACCTTATATCAGGCATCTACTGAGAAAAAAATAAGGACTGTGTCAACAACAGAGTTAAGAACAGGCTGGTTGTGAATAGAAATCAATTCCTGGAATAACCAAGAAGCCATTCATATCCAAGTTACTAAAGAAATATTTTTCGTAAATACCAGTTTCTCCACAGCCCTCTTGAGTATCAACAGGTGACTCTTACTGGTCAAAATAATATTATGAAAAATTTCTTATATATGCTAATTATTTTTTACAATCAAGTCTCCCCATTTTATGGAGATACTATTATTTACCCTACTCTTAATGATCGTTTATGAACACATAGTTCCAATACCACACCCTCCATTCCAGAGTGCCTACTTCCCTCCACCAATGTCTGAAGGACCATCCCCCCTCCATCGTTTTCCCCCTCACTCCCCACACCAGTAAAGTTCAGTTCTATAGACAAACTCACCTTTAGACATTTTCTATTCCCTTACTAGTGTTTCTTTACATACCATACATTTTTTGTTCTATTTTGGGGGTGGTGACACCATCAAATATAAATATTATTGAAGTTAAACTCCTGAACACTAAACTTTAAATCAATGTTAGTTAATTATATATGTTTTTGAAAACTATATAAGCAGCCATATAAATTTTAATAAATATTATTAACTTATAATAATAAATGTTATTATAATAAATATTAACTTTATACCAATACATTTAAAATTTCACATGAAATAGATAAAAAAATACATATATGCTCTTTAGCAAGATTGAGGAAAGTTGTAAAAACTGAAGAAAAATCTGAATAGGCCTATAAAAAATATATTAATCCTAATATAATACTGCCACATTCTCATTTGTTTCAGTTTCACACTAGAGACATCTAGTCTCTCCTTAAAATGATCATTTTGGTATCTTCTTTCTTCTCTTCAAGTGCTTTCTTGGACCAGGCAGGAAATGTGAACAAGGTAAATGGGGAACAGAGTCCACACGAGATACGGGGAACAGAGACCAATCTCTTGAAAAAGATAATTAAGTTGTTTCTCTGAGGAACAAAACTAAAGATGGTGAAGAATAGCATTCTGGACACTGTTTCAAAACCACTGCAGAAAACTGACAAAGCCTCAGAACAAACGAAGAACTTGACCTCCCTTCCCTTCCAACTTCCAACCAAGAAAGGTAGCTGCGGGGAGGGCCTAGAGACAATTGGCTCGGAATAAAGCCTGACTGAAACGTTGGCTTTGGGAAGATCATTAACCTTTTGTGTCTCTGTTATCCAATCTGAAGAAAATGTTGGTGATGATAACAGGAGCCACTTGGTTAGACTGTAGTGAGAATTAAATTTTAATTTTTTAACAACTTAGAAAAGAATCTTTGATATGCAGTGTTAAGCCCAGGATTCTGGCTTCCCAAGCAGTGAGAGGGACAAAAACACTAACTCAATAATGCAAAAGCAGTAGGAGTTTTATTCCAGTATACTGGGGTCAACTATCTTACCTACAGAGTGATCTCTTGATAATGACCCGACTTTAGACAGCAAGCGGTTTATATAGAGTTTGATTACATAAGCAGCACATGCCTTATTGTTTCCGAAAAGTATCTTACTTAGTTACCAAACAAAGGTGTTTTGGCAAGTGTCTAGGGTAACAGTGGTTAGGCAACAATTAAACAATAATTTCCAATATAAGTACCAATTTTATGATTACATAGACTTCTCATTCTTTTAGGGTTAACAAAAAGCAACTTCTGGGGCATTGTGAGAATTGATTAATTGAGCCCACTTGCTGAGCCCAGGAACTTTCCCAGGTGGTTTCAGGTTGATTCGTTATGCATTGTTTTATTGCTGGGAAAGTGAAACTGTTTTAGTTCCCCTAAATGAACCTGAGTCTTAGCTGATTTTGCTGATTTCTGCCACCTATCATGGTTGCTCTCCGGCTTGTTCAGAGTCTCACATAAGCACCCAGAAATGTTAGGAACTATTATTGTATTCTGGCTATTGAACGAGAACAGTTTTTGTATAACTTGGTTCAAGTCCCCTCAGTACAAGCACACATTTGTTTTGTTACTTTTGTTGTTGTGTCTGAGCTAGAACCAGAAGTGCTCAGGGGTGACTCCTGACTCTGTGTTCAAGGGTCACCCCCAGCATGTACTAGGGAACCATGCATACAGGGATTTGCTTTGTATGCACCTAGCACACTGAACTTTCTTTCCCACCCAAGTACACATTTCTTAAGGGCAGGTAACATATAATTTCTCAGTGTTTCCCAGTTTTCAGAAAACTGTTGGCACACAATAGCAATCAGTTACAGATTGACTTTTAAAAAAAGAAAATATGCATCACTGAAACATCTTTTAGAATCAAAGTTAATAAGTATAATTTAAAAATAAATATAGCTGTCAAATTAGTTATGAATATGAGCAGAAATTATCAATTCTTCTAGAATAGCAATTTTGTCTTTTTTTTAAAAGCAGTTTTATTATCCTGCAAGCAGTTTCTATTTAAAATGAGAGTTCATGTAGCCTGGAGTGTGAAGCATACTGAATATCTGTTGTACATTTGTCATGGTGGTTTATTTCTTCTATTTGGTTTTGTTAATTGTTCTACTAGGCGGGGGAAACATTCTTAAGGTTGTATTCCCTTTACTTTCTATGTATCCCTACAAAACTTTTAATGTACAGGAGATAATGACAGTGACAGGAAAAGGAAGATATCCAGCAGGACCTTTTCCTCCTGTAGCAAACTTTCCTTTGCAAGTAGTAACTTACCAAGAACTGAAAGATATCCATTACCAAGAACTGGAGAGTGGGTACAGAACAACCCAGTGTCAGCTTAAGCCAAAAATTCAAAGTTTAATACACTGATTTCCTGGGCCTGGGCCTCTAGCAGAACATTTAGATTATGTAGTTGCATACGCAAAATGAACAGCGGGGTTCTCTAGAACATCTTAATCAGTTAAAAGAGTTTTGTTAGGAACTCCAGGAGGAGAGAGAAAGTACACCTAAGAACAGACATACTCAAATCCTGCTTGGAAGGGGGAACCCCTGCGGTTATGCAAAGCTGCAGTACTGCTCAAAGGGAACAGGGCATGAAAGATGTAATAGTAGACATAAGGCAAATGCCGGAGAGGGAGCAAGGCAAGGAAGGGGCTTTTAAAATGGAACTTGTATTTTGAGCACATCATTTCCTGGGCACCATGTTCACTATGGCTAATAATATAAAAGACGCCTTCATACAGTTATTTCCTTATTTCCTAGAATTTTTTTTTGAGGAGGAAATTGCTATACCATCGTGTTTAGGGCTTAATCCTGTCTCTGTGCTCAGGGTTCACTTCTGGAGCATATACAGTGCTGGGAATCAAACCAGCGTTGGCTGAGTGCAAGGGAAGGCACCCTATCCCTGTACTATCTCTCCAGTCCTTTTCCTATATCTCTTAATTAGTGTTTTTAAAATATAATACATGTGCTAAAATTGGGCTTTTGTATTGCAAGAACCAGAAAATAGGATTATATCCGAGGAAAAAATATTCCCTTTTAAGTTTAGAAAGATAATTTTGTAAAGTACAAGTGTACAACAAAACAAAACCACAATTTCACCCTTATTGTGTTGTAAAACAAATGAAAGCATCATAAGTTAATGTGAGTCAGAGGAAATAAAGCACTTCTAGCACCTCCACTAATTAGTCATTATCCTTTCTTGCCTTTCATTTGGAATGTCTTTCAAAACTTGGTCTTTGTAACCAAATTATTAGCAGATAGGCACGCCAGCCAAAGGGACGTATCCCTTTGTCAAAGAAAGAACTCTGAACCCTCTAACATTTTTCTGTAATTTTTTTCTGAAATAAAGACAGAACCCAAGCTTTTATTCTCACATTTATCCATGAATCACGGAAAATGGACATATGGGAGGAAAAGGGAGCATAGCAACAGGTGATGCTACACCAGACCCCACTAAAACCAACATGCAGCAAGACAAGAGGCCAGCCAAGAGGACCATCTGATACCCAGATGCCACTGCTGAAAAAATTCATTTCAAAGCTTGGCAGCAATTTCCTGCATCTGTCAAGTTAACCACAGAAAAGACTATAGATTGACATGAAGAACCGGGCTGACAAAGAGGGCAAAAAAGAACATATCAAATGCCATAATCATCAAGAGAATGTGGTGCCAAATGAATGTTGCAAATGCATTCATTTACTCAAGTGATCTGGGATTGTATTGCTGTTTATTAAAAATGATGTCAAAAGAAGCCTGAACTGTCTACAGAAACATGCAGAAAATCCCACAGTTGTATCTTAACAGAAACTTTCTTTTCTGTAAGATATCTTTATTTCTACATTTTAGAGAATGCACTTTATAAAAATAAGCCACTACTTCCACTGCTTTTTAAAGGGTCTGGTTAACTATGCCTATCTTACTTCTATAGGAAAGAAAAAAAAACAAATACAAGGATGGGAGAATATGGATTTAAACTTTCATCTACATATAACAAATGCTAAATTTCAGTCTTCAAATTTCATATTTTCAACTTCTAGCATCCTTGAGACACTGGAAAGATCATGAAGTACAGTAAGTTTTTCTGCTAAGTTTGGCTTCTTCATTCTGCACAAGGAGAGTCACTGAGCCAGTGTGATGAACCTGTCTTGGCAGCATATCACATAACTGTGAAGTAACAATCACAAAATGAATAAGCAAAGTATTTCTTTCTTTGGTTTTGGTGCCACACCCTGTCGTGCTCAGGGCCTTCTCCTGGCTCTGTGCTCAGGGATCACTCCTGGTGGGCTCCAGGGACCATGTGGGGTTTGGGGGATCAAACCCACTGGCTATGTGCAAGGGTGTTTACCCTAGCCAATATACTATCACTCTGACCCTAAGCAAGACATTTTTGATGGCAGGAAAAACATTCTGTTAAAAAAAAAATCAACTGCTAGGTTTTGACACTTGAAGTAAAGAAAAAAAGTTAAAAGGACCTAAAATATAAATTCAAAAGCGACAAAGAATTGACGAATTCCAAGGTGATTTTGAATATATGATATATATATACATAGATAAATGATGTGAAATCTACTAACTATTGATGTACTATATTGGCTCATTATATCACTGATAGAGTATACTATACTACATTGATATAGTATACTATATTGATAATCTATATTGATATAGATTATAGAAAACACTATCCTTTAAACTGTTTTATTTCAGGAAAAAACAGGGTTTCAAGTGAGAAAAAGATTACTAGCAGAAGCTGAAAAATGTGGTTAACTTGTTATTTAGGGATATAATGAAGAGACATGTAATTAAAGTCAGGACACTGCAGACAACATAGTGAAGCAACAGGCAGGGACAACAAGCTATGGAATAAAACCTTTACTTTGAAAAAAATGTTCTAAGAAGCTGAATTATATGGGAGGTTGCTAACAGGGAAATCCTGTTATTTCCTATTGCTAACAGGGAAATCCAAGAGTAGCAGACCACACAATGTTGAAGGTCACAGAACACATAGACTTAGGCATGCCCCAAGAGTAAATAAAACATGTCTGCAGAAAGGAATTTGTTTTGCCAATATCCAAAGAAGACGATGGGATGTTAGACTCATAGTGGCCAAGAACAGACTGACTCTTGTACTTGTGACAAGGCATTAGCATTACAATGAAATCAGATTTGCTCAATTATTTACTAAATCCAGGCTATAATGGCAAAGAATATCAATTTTTAGGTACTTATAGCTATTACCACAATAAAAAGTAATATAAAACAAATAGAAAATATTTTTATAATATAATGTCAACTTTCTTTCAATGACAAGAATATTAAATTCTGTGGTTTCACATTTAATTCTAAAAGTTTTTTAAGTTCTTGCAAGTACCACTTAAAGAACCTCAGATTATATTTTAGCTCTTCATCACAGCATGTAAGGGGGAAATATATGTGGTTACTTGGACCTTAAGAAATGTCAAACTACTATAGGCTCAAGAAAAATAAGGAGCAGGTGTTAGGTGGTTTATAAAGTTACACGACTTGGAATAAAAGGATATAGAATGGCCAAAAAAGTGATATTGTTTAGGCAATTCTTCCCTTGTACATTTCATTTAAATATAATTCTGGTAATAAGTTTAAAATATTGTCTATACCAGTTGATATTCTTGTGAAGGATAAACTTTTAATAAAATAAGTTATATTTCTGTATAATTTATAAATGTTAAAAAAAACTTTTGAAACTGAAACTAATACAAAGTTCACTTTATAAAATAAAAATGTTCTGGTTCATTCTAAAAGATATTCTAAAATAAATTTGTTTTTGTTGTTTGGGCCACACCTGACAGAGCTCAGGGCTTACTCCTTACTCTATACTCAGATATTACTCTTAGTGGGATCAGAGAGCTATGGGATGCCAGGGATTGAGCCTGGGTCAGTTATGTGCAAGGCAAGCATTCTACCTGCTGTACCATCTCTCTGGACCCATGAAATATATTTTATATATTTAAATGTAGCCATTAAAATGATAACGCAGATTTATTTAGTTAACACGATTCTCCTTTCTACAGAGAGCAAAGAATGCTCTTCATTTTAAAAGAGACACACATCATTTCCAACACTTACGCAAAACTCCCTTCTAGTGTATGACATGCATTTGCCAACGGCTTCACTCATTCAATTGTGATGCTTGTGCAAATTCTGGTGTAAAGCTGCCTTGGGATTGCTGTGGTGCTTACACACATGCTTATTGGGGCTTTCACTTTTGTCTATTTAATTAAATATATTAAATATGGAATAAAATTAAGGGAGAGTTCAGCGGTTAAGAGCACCTGCCTTTCCCCCTAGGCAGCTCAGTGGCCGCCATCCTCCAGAGGCCACTGGACAGTCAGGTTTGGGCCCTCAGTGACGAGACACATGGGGCCTCACAGGATGAGGGTGGAGCTGGCCCTTTCCACCCTGTTCCAATGAGACACCGAGTCGCCACCCATGAATGGCCTTTCTGGCTCCTGATCAAGCTGCTTAACGGTCATGATCCCAGAGACTCAGGAATAAATATCAGAACCCAGAACGTTTTGGCAGAAATCCCTCCAGATTTAAGTGTTAAAATTTTGGAATTTCAAAATCTTGCAGTTACTACTGCAGCCAGGCGACATCATGTGTTATTCTTAACCAGCAATAGAAAACAAATTGTCTACTGTTGCCTTTTCAGCAGATCTGAGTGTTGGGGTAAAATCCCAAATAATAATGGCAGATCTGGTGTAAAAATATTGAATTTTATCAAAGTAGAGAGAGAGTAATGTGGAAATCATCTGCCCCAGAGGTAGGGGGAGGGTGTGGAATGGGGGTATACTGGGGATTTTGGTGGTGGAGAATGGGCACTGATGAAGGTACAGGTGTTTCATTGTATGACTGAGACTTAAACCCAAAAGCTTTGTAACTGCTCTCATAGTGATTCAATAAATAAAATCATAAAAAATGAAAAAAAAAGTAAGGTGGAGTTCATGCCCAATTCAATCAGCTAATCAGTGGCTGAATAAATAACAGTACTCCTCATTAAGGGCTGGAGCAATAGCACAGTGGTAGGGTGTTTGCCTTGCATGCAGCCAGCTTGGCCGAGCCAGGTTTGATTCCTCCGCCCCTCTCAGAGAGCCTGGCAAGCTACCAAGAGTATCTTACCCACGCACCAAATCCTGGCAAGCTACCCGTGTATATTCGATATGCCAAACACAGTAACAAGTCTCAAAATGGAGACATTACTGGGCCCGCTCGAGCAAAATCGATGAACAACAGGACTCTTCATTAAAAAACAAAAAAAGAGCACCTGCCTTCAAAGTGTCAGGTCATGAGTTTAGTCCTAGTGCCTTCCACATATGCTGAGAACATGGTCCCATGACTCTTCTGTCTTGGTGCCCCAGTGTTCCATCAGGTGTACAATCTCCAACAAACAGCCAGATATGTGGAAGCACCACAACTACAGTGTGAAACCTTTAGCAAACACCACAACTACAGATGTGAAAGCACTAAGGCCAAGAAGGTAAACCCCAGTAAGCACCACAGCAATTCCATGACAACACTACACCAAAATGTGCACAAGTGTCACAAATGAATGAGTCCAACCCCTAGCAAATGCATGTTCATGAACTGATACAAGAGAGTGTGACCCCTGGCAAGCACCACAACTAAGTGTGTACAACTCCACTCATCTCAACAACAACAATAAAAGGAAGAGGAGAAAGAAAATAATTTAAAGAGTAGAACTTTAGTCAGTGTTTTAAAATTTAAGTCCAGGAGACAAAGTGTCAGTGTTTAGAGTTCATCCAAGAACTCTAAATAAATAATTCAATAATAATTATTTAATTTTAATCTAATTGCATGACAAGATGATAAAGATATTGTATGACAATAGATGATGAAAATTATAAAGCTGAAAAGATTACTTTAATATTTCACCATACAAATGACTGAAAATGCAGGTAAAATGTTACAAGCTTCAGTTATTATCAGTTAAATCATCATGATTTACATTACAAAGGATGTGAAAAATATACCTTAAGCTTATGTTCTTTTCTGTTGATGATGACAGCTGTAATTTGTTGGTCCATAAAAATTAGAATAGTACAAAGTAATGCTGGAATAATAGCAGCTACTACTGTCCACCAAGGATTTGGACCTAAAGGTGTAACAAACCAACCACGATCATCTCTGGTAGGCTGTGAAAAACAGAAGTAATTATATAGTTATTAAATGGATGAATGAGTACGTGACTATTTGGTTAATCAAACCAATCTTATAGGATAATACTATGAAAGCAGCCCTAAGTACTACTGTTCCAAATGAACTATAATTAATATTTAGGAAACATAAGTAAGGTAGCAGAAAGAATTCTTTAAATATTTTAACTCATTTTTTCTTCAGATTATTCTAAAACTACATTAAGAAAAAACTAAGACTTTGTATGAAGTAACAAAACTACTTAGTGGCAGAGATAGGATTTTGACTGGCTCAGAGCTCTAGTTTCCTAATGCATATCTACAGTAAATAAAACAGTATCAATGTTACCATTTACAGCTGGCTTATTTATTTACTCTTACAAACAACACACTGACAACTCTGTTTTACTTTAGATGTATGCACCAGCCATTGTGTGACAGAGAAACAGACAGTTGGTCACTTCAGGCACACTTGGAAGGGTTCTAAATGGATGCCTGCCATGATCCTGGAGGAATTCACTTTGACAACTGTTTGAGGAATTCCCAGTGTTGTTTCATAGATAAGGTTAATTGTCAGACCCAAATGACATATTTATGTAGGATAATTAGAAGAATTCTATTCCAAACATATTTTTATCTATTTTCAAGCTTTATGCTGTGTGCAATTCTGCATCAAGCTAATGCATTACTCAGTTTGATAACACTTCCTTTTCTTTCAGAATCATTGTACTTAATATCCCATTTGGAATAACTGACAGGAAATACTTCCCAAGCAGTCTCTGGGTTTCTAGTTCTACAATTTCTTTTGAAAAAAATTAGACAAGAAATGGTCATGCTATGAACATGTTGCCTGGTATTCTATTATAATATATAAAGGCCCTCTCGTTGATCATCGATTTGTTCGAGCGGGCCCAGTAACGTCTCCATTGGAGACTTTGTTGTTACTGTGTTTGGCATATCGAATATGTCACGGGGAGCTTGCCAGGCTCTGCTGTGCGGGCGAGATACTCTCGGTAGCTTGCCGGGCTCTCCGAGAGGGGCGGAGGAATCGAACTCAGGTCGGCCATGTTGGCTGCGTGCAAGGCAAACGCCCTACCACTGTGCTATCGCTCCAGCTATGAACATTTGCAATGAACATTTTGTTTGGTATTCTATTAATCAATACTATTTATTTCTATGAACATTCCAGCAAGAGGGTTAGAGTCATCATATAAATGGATTATAAATTAAAATTAATAAAAGATTAATTTTACAGAGATGAAGATAGAGTAAATGCTGTAATTTCACCTTGAAAACATTGGGTACTTTGAGTTTTGGAGACGGGATCCCAATGGCATAGTCAATTAAAACCATACACAGAATTGTAAGAAAGACAGCAAAGTCACTCACTATGGATCGAACCTAAAAATAATAAAAAATACTTGTCACTTCAAAGGAACTATGAATAGTGAGAAATTTTCAGCAACAAAATCTAGAGTCACACTTTACAAACATTTTATGACATACTGTTATATTTTATGTTCACAATATTATCATTAACTCTTAGAACCTAAATACACATTTATGTTTCTCTGTCATAAGAATGAATATACTCTCAAATTTTCCAAAATGACACACACACAAAGCTACAGTGGTAACTGTTTTTCAAAGTTTATGTACAGCTGGAGTTTATTATAAATTCACGTACATGAATATTTATAAAATAGAACAAGGATGTATGATCAGTATTTGGCTAAATTTTAGTTATCTTTCTCACACAGGTAACATCTTAGTATATCCACCTGAATAGCTACAAAATAAAATGAAGTTTTTAATTAAAGAAGCTTAATATTTTAATTAGTTTACCTAGGATATAAGTGCAGCACCTAGGAATGTGGGCAACAGTGTGATTAAATGTATATATTATTCTAAGGAAGCCAGCACCTAAAGCTATTTCTCATTTGTAAAACCATCTTAGGGCAAAAATCCTTACACAATGATCAAAATCTGGGGCCAGAGAGATAGTACAGAGAGTAGGACACCTGTTTTGCACATGGTCTTCCTGGGTTCAATCCCCACTACCCCACTAGAGCCCCATTAAAGCCCCACCAGGAGTGATTCTTGAAAACAGAGCCAGGCATAGGATCCTATGCACTATTGGGTATGAACCCCAAATTGGAAAAGAACAAAAACAAAAACACACAATGACAAAATCATAAAATGCAGGTGCTTATTGTTTCAATTCTCTCTCTCTCTCTCTCTCTCTCTCTCTCTCTCTCTCTCTCTCTCACACACACACACACACACACACACATTGTTTTAATTACTACATTTGGGGAGAAGGAAAAAAAATTCCATCTTAGGAAAAGAAGAGACCAAAAAAAGAAGTTATCTCTGGAAGAATTAGTTCATGAGCTATATCTCAGAGTGGAATTTTGATCATAATATTTAGCTCATCTCTAAAAATCTTGCTTGATTTTTTTATTTTCTCTTTTTCTTTTTTTTTTCTTTCCTTTTTGGCTGAGTCAGACATTATAGGTGTTAGTTTGCAGTGTTAAATATTGAACTAAGCTGTTTCTCTGTTTACTTTCCTTTCCAAATATGCAGATGCAAACGTGGTGGGTTAGGGGGAGGGACTAACACTTTAAACACAAAAAAAGAGAATAGTGTTCCAATGAGTCTTGCAGGGGCTTTCCCAATTAGAGAATGTAAGAGTGGCTCCTCTGAGGTATCTGTCAGTCTGGAATAGTTCCCACTGTTCACTGGGCAAGAATGTGACAATCACTGATGCAGTATGTGCTTTTGATTTCCAAAAGCGTTGAGTGGCAAAGTAAGAGTTTGTCTTTGAGATCTGAATTTAAAAGCGAAGCCTGGAGGGTGTGTGTACTCCTAGTGTACTAGAACACAAAATGCTTCCCATCACCTGCATGGCCACACCCATGCCTAACTGGCAGCTCTCTCATGAAAAAGTATTTCAGTGACTCCTTTTATGTCAGCAATTGCTTTCTTTTAGTCCTAAACACAGCTGACTCCTTTACATGTTTTATAATGGTTTACACTTTGACAAGAAAATTGTAACCCTAAGTACCTTGGTTGGAAAGTAGCGGCTAGTCTTGAACTGCTTCAGGGTGGCTGACATAGTAACTGTTGAAAAGAACAAGATCACTGACCAAAACAAAACATCTGGAACATATGGATGCTCGTGGCCACAGGCTCGTCCAACATACTCTCCATGCAAGGATCTGCATTCCTGTCAGGAGGAATAAAATTAATAATGTTATGAAAGGAAAAAACAAATTTACTTCTTTCAGTAAACTAACATCTTCTGATTGCTTGGAGCTGTCCTGCTGTAGCAGAGAAAGGTTTAAAAATTCTACTTGGAAAGCTAGTGAGCATTAGAAAATATGCTGTCAAAATTGAACAAGAGCCACTTTTTAAAAATTCACATTGAAGAGAAATCTTAAAAATAATTGATATAGCAATCAATGTTTATTTAGTCTGATATTTAAAAAGTCTTAATACCATATTTAATGAAAATATGACATGACTTTATAGGGAGTTGTTACTAGGGGAGATACATTGCCAGCCCTATTTACATGTATCATCTTAATTTTTATATCAACCCTATAAAACAGGAAGACACTATTTCTACTTTGTGTCTACAAAGTATGAGGTATAGAGGTTCAGTAATAATTTATAGTCTTAATGATACTGGGTGGCATCAGAACAGGACTTGTAAGGTTAGAAGAATATTGAATATTAAAGAACAATGATTTTGTAGAATGATTGCAGATGTCCAAAAACTACCCAAAAGGTGTGAAAGGCAACGAAAAAGCTATAATTTATTGTTGCTGAATTAAATTTTAAAAACAATGGTTTTAGACTGTCTTTATTAATGAGTTCTTCAAGCTCTTCCCCACTATATATTTTTTTTCTGAGCCCTTGACGTATCATTCTAATCACCACTTTAGCCATGAGGTGGCAGCAAAGTCAAATTTTTTTTTCTCCAAGAAAAATAGCATTTTAAACATTTTTTTGGAATACAATGTTTCCTTTCAAATTCTGATGTGCTTTCTATATTAGATTGCTTAGGTATTCAGATTTCAAAACAATAAAACAGTTTAAGTTATCCAATAACTTTATTAGTACATGAGCATGAACAGAATTTTAACTGAGCCATGGGACAGAAAAATCTTAGAAAAATGTGTGGACTGATGGATTGATGTTCAACAGGATCAGCTGGATTCTTCCCAGTGAACAAAATTTCAGGTCTTAAAAGTAGGTAAATAGCAGAAAAATACACTTAAAGAGTCTAGAATAAATCATAGTTAGCTATATTTCCACCTACAGAAACAACTAGAAATTAAAAATATCCACCTATGACAGCTATACTTAGGCTTCAAATCTTGAGAAATAGTAGATCTTATAGTTTCTAAAATAATTCTGTCCCATTTTCTAATCTAACTGCAAATCCCTTCTTTGTTAACAAAATAAAATTATAATTGTTCATGCTAATGTAGAACACAATAATAATTTAGTTAAATGTAAAATTAAAGAAACATCCCCCAAGTTTTAGTTCTCTTTTTTCCCCTCAAAAGTTCTGTAAAAATGAAGTTGATTATAGAAGGTTTTGTTTTTGCTGTCCATTCTTTTGCCTCTGTCTAAAATGCTAAGAGATTAATGACAAAATGAAGCTATGGACAAAGAAAGAGTAGGCAGTAAATCCATTGTAAACACATTTTGTATAGGTAGGTCGTTATCTTGATTTTGTGTTGCTATAAAGTCTAGTGAGGTCAGAAAGGTAGCTTAATGGTGCTGAGTCATGCTTTGCAGGTTGAGGCTCAGATTGAATCTCTGGCACTGTATGATGCTCCCAGAGCATGAAGGCAATTAGAGCACAGAGCCAGGGGTAGCCCCCAAGCACCGCACTGCCGGATTAACCCCAAAACAAAACACAAACAAAAAGTTATAAATATTTTATTCACTTGGCTAAGTCTTGTTATCAGTGCTTAAGACCACAGACACCATTTAACTAGGTGCTGTATTTTATATTAGATAATAAATCGTCAATATCTTAACCTTAAGCTGACTCTTCATTCAAAGCAAACTGAATGAAGGAGATTTTAAAAAGAAAAAAATTATATTAACTATACCCCTTACACATATGCCGAGAGGAAAGAGAAAAAAAGAGAGAAAGTGAGTAAAAGAGAGAGAAAGAGGGAGGGGAGAGGGGAGACAGAGGGAGGAAGGAGAGAGAGAGAGAGTTCTGAAATTCAGAAGTGAAAACCAAATCCAGATCCTGCTCTTTTATTTTGAGTTTAACATATGGTTTCACTACCAAAAATGAAAAAAAGATGCTTGTTGACAAACTTGTTTGCACTAATTATTTATCAGATGTTCTAAGTTTTAACAATGTATAATTGGTAAAAATTGTTTGATATAATAAGAAACTGAAATGACATCCATTCCCTGCCCCTTATATAAGCTTAAGTGACATGTGTGAGTCCAATACTAAATCATTATTAACCAATTGCTAGCTAATACTGCTTGTGAATATTTCAAAACTTGCTTATAGTTCTTTCTAAATGCTAACATTGAGATACTACTATAAGTATAAATATATACAATTATCTAACTTGCCATTAAAAAGCTTATATATAGCACAATAACAAAGATTTTGAAATAACCTGTCAATAGATGAATTGGTGAAAAACTGTGGTATAAATAGACAGCTGGATTTTTTTTTGGAAAGATAGATGCATGTGGAGAACAGTTTGCTAAGTGAAATAAGCCTTACACAGAAAGACCAGCACTAAATGATCTCATTTCGAAGAGAAATCTAAAATAGTCAAACTCACAGAAGCAGAGAGTAAGATGATGGTGATCAGGTTTTGGGAAACAGAAAATTGAGAAAATAATCGGTCAACAATAGAGTTTCAGTTATGCGAAATAAATAAATTTTTTAGACTAGCATTTAATATCATGAGTACAGCTAACAATACTGTATTATATAACTGAAATTGATTTAGTGAGTATATCTTAACTGTTTCCACCAAAAAAAAGTATTGTGAAGTTATGGGTTTGTTAATCAACTTGATTATGGTAATTATTTCAAAATGTACATATACATACATATATAAACACATCATTTTGTACACTTAAATATATACAATTTCTCTAGCCCTAATGTACATAATTTGCATTTGTCACTTCCATTACTATAAAGCTAGAAAGTAAAACAAAACACTTGTGATATGAGATTGCTTTTCAAGCAATCATTAAATGTTTACTGATCACTAACTATGCATTAAACAGTTTGGAAGAATCCTAGTAAGTTGAATTTTTTCCCTTCTAAATGTACACTGGTAAAGGGAGGGGTGTTGGAACACTGATGACTGTAACACAATCATTAACAACTTTGTAACGGTGTACCTCATGGTGATTCAATTAAAACTTTTCCCTTAAGGCATAAATGATAATCCATATATCTCATATATAAGAGATATATCAAAATAAAGTTTTATCAAATGAGTAGTACATAATGTAAATGATATACCACTACTGTTATAAAACTAAATAGCCACTAGCACAATGCTTTTTTAAAAAATTACTGTTGATTTTGATAACTATGCTTACAAAATATATAATCAGTTATAGAATATAACTGTGCTTTAAAAAATACCAGAGTAAAAATGAATATTTTAAAAATTTAATGGTATTAGTTGACTAAAAATCAAAACACATTTTTTCATTATGTAACATTCCCTCTGGTAACAGAAATAATCAATACATTACCAATTTGGTCAATATTAGCAATGATCCAGTACAAAAAGTGCTTTTAAATAATTTTTAAAATTTAAAAAATTTCTGCCAGATTTTCAACACCTAATACAGAACTTTGAAAAAAGCTATAGTACTATATTTGATCTGATTGCAAAATATTTTTTACTATATTCTGCTTGGCTCTAAAATTTCCAATTTTATTACTCTAAAATTTTCAAAAGCTAGCAAGATAATTGTTTCATGAGTCTCTTAGATGGATGTTTGTCAAGAGTTGCTATTGCATAGAATGAATATTATTATTTAACAAATCATTCAGAAAGTATAAAACAAATAAAGAAAAGTTATCTTAAAACATATAACTATGATTATTTGGGATTCTACATTCATGATGACACCCAGATGAGGAGACACAATCAAGGATCCTTTATACATGATAAGCAACAGCTTTCAAAAGGAGATTATAGACAGAAGATACACTGTGCAATGCATCATGTCAACAAAGAAGAACAAATAAGACTGATAGCATTGCTTCTTGTTCAATTTGCCATTGAACGAAGAAGAATGATAGCATTGCCTTTTGTTCAAGTTGCTATTTCTTCTATGAAATAAACTAAGTGATTGTTGAGCGTCAAAGAGCCAGATAACTTTATTTTTCTAGAGAAAAATACATGTCATACATAAATCTTAACTATAACAGCCAAAAAAAGTAAAAATGAAGACTACTGTATTAGTAGTATATTGTAGAGAAAATAATTAGGGTAAAAAATGATTGTAAATGAGGGTCAAGGTAAAATTTCAAACTGATCTCATTTTAATTCTAAAAGAAAATATTTAATGGGAGAAATTTGAGAAAATAGACACTATGTCAAGTGCCATACCGTGATCATGTCTAAACCTCCAAGACATATTATTCAAAATGATAAAATCAAAATATAGACAGAATATTGAAAGCAGCAAGATCAAAAATGAACTTAGAAAGGATTACATAAGATTTACAGCAGATCTATCAAATGAGATTCTATGAGCCCATAGAGAATGGAGGGATATAGTACAAAATTGCAAATAACCGAACAGTCACCAAGAATACTCTATTTAGCTACATTATCATTCAGATTTGAAGGAACAATACAGAGCTTCAGGGGCAGGCAATAGTTTAGGAAATTCATTGTCTTGAAACCAGTATTAAAGAAGCTTCTTCAAAAGGCAAGACAAACTTCTCAACACTTGCCATTGAGTATAGCATTCATTCATGGCACTTAGAGTTGTCCTCTACTAGATTGAGAAAGCTTCCTTTAGGAGTCAGAGAAGTAGTACAGTAAGTCACTCGCCTTGCACATGGCTGATCTGACATTCCATATGGTCCCCTGAGCACTGACAGAAGTGATTCCTGAGTGCAGAGCCAGCCATAACCCCCAAGCATCTCTGGGTGTGGCCCAAAAAACAAACATAAATGCTTTGCTTTTTTTTTAAGAAAAAAAAGAAAGGTTTCTTTACTTTTATCTTGCCAAAGGATTTTATACATTTGCAAAATGAATTGATATTTTATTTATATTAATGTCATATATCTGATCAAGTTTTTTAAACATCTATAGAGATTTTTATTAGGATCTTTTACTTACTAGTGCAAATTTGTTTGCACTTATGCAGTATCTATAATAAAATATTTTCAACATAAAGCTAATATTCCCTTTCTTAGAATAAAACACACTTCCATACTTTTATAGGCCTATCAGATTCTTCCCTTAAAATTCCCCCTTCACTTTTACTAAGTTTTACATTTGTAAGACTTTTCTTATATCTTATGTAATGTCTTTCTTAAATCTTAGGTAATATATTTTACATAGATTTTATACAAATCCTTATTAGCATGGATTAAGTTAATTTTAATTTATATACCTATAAAACATATAGCTTTGAAAAAAAGTGTTTTTATCAATTTAGTATTGAGTTATAATATTGTGGAATTTCAGATTAGTTCTATTCGCTTATGTGTGTAGGTGTTCACCACTTTCACAGTAAAAGAGAGTGAGAGGGAGAGAAAGAGATCGATGTCAAACAGGGTATGAAAAAGAAACATAGTAAAGAAGCAACAAGTGGTCAGATTCATCAGAACTAAAAACTTGTCTATAGAACTGAGCTTACATGGATTTGGGTGGGGGAATTCTTGGGACGTTGTGGAGGGAAGTGGACTCTTGGTGGTAGGCTTGGTGTTGGGATGATGTATTCATGAAAAGAGTATGATTAACAAAATTTTACCTCAATAAAAATGGTATAAAAATTATGTATATAAGTTTTAATATCTTTGTATAACAGCAATCTTCATAAAACAGCTTAAAAATTTGGTTGCATTTCATCATGTTGCACTAAGTGGCTCATGTACTAAATTGTTAAGCATTTCACAAAACGCCCTCGAATTCATAAGGTCTGTGCTGATGCTTATCCTGAGGTCTGAATATTTCTAGGTAGGTAAACTGGCAGAAGTTTTGGATTTTAAAGTTTGTAACTGGAAAAAACAGGAAAAAAAACTGGGACAACTCAGATTTTAATATTAAAAGTACAACTTTTTTCATTTTAATAGTTGTGAAATTAAAAAGAAAGGATACAAATAAGAAAATGATGCATAAATATTAGAGTAGATTGATGATTGATAAATGCAGCTATTAACACTCTCCCTAAAGCCAAAACATAATTGTTAGTGGGGAGGGGAGGGGGTGCTGGACCATACCTAGCTGTGTTCAGGGCTGCTTCTTGGCTATGTACTCTGTAATCACTCCTGGCCATGCTCAGGGGACCATATGCAGTGCCAGGGATAGAATCAGAGTCTGTCACATGCAAGGCTGTCTTGCCCCATACTATCTCTCTGGCATCAAAAACATGTTTTTTAAAGAGCTGAGTTAACCTTGATAGGTGAAAAATCTGTTGACATTCCTGTTCTAAGGTAAGAAGTTCAGAACAAAAATTTCCTTCTTGGAGGAGATACTAGAACTTTTTTAAGAAAAATGGATTTTGTTTTTGCAAAGATCTCAGTATTTACACTAAAATATTAACAAACAATACCCCCATCCCAGCATATTCTTAACAGCTGGAGCAGTATTAACAAGTAAAGTAAGCATTTGGGTTTCTTTCACAGAAGGTCGACTTAGTTCTACCATATGGTTTCATTTAAGTCAACATCACTCTTTTTTAATATGCTTTCAGGTGATATAGTCTTATTCTGCATATGCATGAGTTTAGAACTGTTTAGAACTATTAACTATTAGAAAAATTTAGTAGCACTGTAGCACTCTGCTCCCGTTGTTCATCGATTTCCTTGAGCGGGCACCAGTAACATCTCACAACAAATTGTGAGTAATGAAAGAGAACTTTAGTAATGAAAGAAAACTTCACATTATTGATAAATACAAGGAAAAAATGAATAAAATTAAAATGAAGGCAAAACTATCACTATTATAAAACTACTAGCACTGTCACTGTCCTCCCATTATTCATCAATTTGCTTGAGCGGGCACCAGTAACGTCTCCATTGTAGGACTTGTTGTCACTGTTTTTGGCATATCGGATATGCCATGGGGAGTTTGCCAGGCTCTATTGTGTGGGCGGGATACTCTCGGTAGCTTGCCAGGTTCTCCAAGAGGGATACAGGAATAGAACTCAGGTCGCCTGTGTGCAAGGCAAACGCCTTACCCGCTGTGTTATCACTCCAGCCCATTATAAAAATAGTACATGTTCAAAATCAATTTTCTTAATAGTAATGATGCATTCAAAATGTCAACAAAAACTTTTAAAGATAAAAGACTCAAAGAAGATGTGAAGATTTCACTTACCGATACAGTTAAGTTCTCCCAAATTATGTCAGATGCGGAAATATTGGACTCCCTCCACTCCCTCAGTGTATCATTGCTAGGGTTATGTGGTTCCACACAGTTACATCTAAGAGAGAAAACAGTGCTTTAATAAAATGCATATCTTTTGTTACCATACTCAAAACAATTATGAAAAACATCCTCTTCTTTACTCATAGCCTTCCTTTATTTGAGAAAAAAATGTTAGGATAAACTCAAACTACTTCAGAACTATGTCAAGAAAAAGTAGATATTTGCTAAAACAGTAGATCATTCTACAGAGTTTCCTGGAATGAGAAATCATCATATCTATGTAAATGAGAGAAAATTTTTTAATTGTTGGTTAGAAAGAACATAAAGGTCCCTTGAGACCTTTCAAAATGGGTATCTTCTAGATCAAAGACAAACAATTGTTTATAAATTATAGTCACGTGTAAAACACTAATGAACAATCAAATTTATAATTATGAATTCACGAGTATAGCAAAACCTTCATTTAGCATTTTAGGAGTCACATAATTATGAAATAGATTGACAGACTCTTGGTTACTGGGCACAAACCAGGCTACAGGAAGTTGGCTTGGGAACCACGAATTATTTGCAATAAACTTCTTAGGCAATCACAATGAAAAGATAAGCCCTTGGGCTTACCTCTCCATGATGTCTCATCAGGTTTCTGCTCCTTTAAAAGCTCCATAAAATAGCTTGCAGCAACTCAGCAAAATACTTATTAGCAGAATTCAGGTTGCATCTGAGTCATAAGAGGTGATCCCAGAACTAACTCGCAGGCCTAAATCTCGTGTATGGTCTCCCACAGGTAGGGGACTCACATCCAAAATAGGGTATATAAACCAAGATAAAGGACCACATTGGATCTTTTCATCTAGATAATGTTTCTTTGTGATGAGTAGTAGTCCTAATCACTATGCAAACGTTTTTTGACTACCTACTATATTTTAGCATCCATGATGAACTGGACTGGGATAGAAGTAAGACATAATAAGGAAGAATTGGACATAGCAGTATAACTATATAACAGAAAAAAATTCAGACCTCACATTCGGTATAACGCTATAAATTAATGAGAAGGCACAAATATAACAAACAAAGGAAGCTGATACTGAATTTCAAATGGATTGTTTAAACATTTTATTCAGAATCATGCCATTTGTCCTGCATAAATAATTTTCTTGATTCCCCTCCATTCCCACTGGGTCCAGGCAACCTCTATGCTCAACTTACAGGTGTCCTGAAACTACAGCTCTACTTTTCACACAGCTCTACTTATCACACAGAATGTTCACACTTAGGTCTTCTGTCACTGGGCAAAGATGGAGAGGGGATAGAAAAAAAAAACAACACCCAGTGACTCACAGGGACCAAATTTATAAGTATAAATTTGAGAAAGACACATAGAATTCCACCAAACTCAACCAGAAGGGTCCACTAGTACCAACCAGTTCTGTAAATTCTTGAAGAATGACTTTAGTGACACCACGTTGAGGATTTTAATGAGTTCAAAATAACAATGGCACCAGTAGTTGGCAAAGTAAAAGAATTTATGAGAGCATATACGAGAAATCTACAATCAGATGTGACAAAAATGAAATGTATAGTAGATGATATTAAAAAACTCCATAGGAGGTTTGAGCAAGCAGAATGATAGCAATCAAGGAAAAGTTCAAATAGTTACAAGACAAAATGCTGGAAACCTCTAGAAAACAACTGAAGATGAAGAAAATGTGTGGTATTAAAGTGATGTGCAATTTAGTTATTACATTTAACAAATCTTCTATAAAAAACATATAGTTTCTACTTGGTAAATCCTTTTACATAAACAACAATTACTTCTGTCTTCTACATAAAAGTTTAGTGTGCTTTTCTTTACATCATTTTCCTTCATTCTTCAAAAAGTTGGGAACATATATTGTTGCAAAGAATTATACAAGAGTAACGGGAAACCTCCATTTATCACAGGGGATATGAAATGTTACAAGAATCTCAGATGTCTGAAATCACAAATTATACAACAGGCCACTTATACATAGTTTTCCCTATACATATAAACTTATGATAAAGTTTAAGTTACAAACTGAGTACAGTCAAATGTTAATAAAAAATAATAATGGGGGCTGGAGCAATAGTAAAGAAGATAGAGCTTTTAAATTACACAAAGCTGACACAGCTTCAATCCTCTGTACCCCATATGGTCCCCAAGTTTGCCAAAAGCGACATCTGAGCATAGAGCCAGCAATAAGCTTGAGCACTACCCAGAGACCATTTGTGACCCCAAAACAAACAAACAAAGTACTATCAATAAAATAGAATACTTTAACTATATGCTCAATAAAACTTACATGAATACATTTTCTCTACCTGTTTGCCTCAAAATATCTTTTTGAATACAATATCTTTAGACTGCACTAGATCATAGGTAATTAAAAAAGCAGAAAACAAAACTGCTAAGCAGTAACTACTTTATAAAGAATGATAGTAAACATAAAAAGTACACCAAATAAATATTCTAAAAGTAGTTTATAAGTGGCTTTTCAAAAACTTGAGATAATTCTGCCTTTCATACAGCCTCCGAATGAAGACTTTAATTATAATCTTTCTTGGATTGGAGAAAGAGTACAATGGGTAAAGGAATTATCTCATGAGGAGTTGATCTAGGTTCAATCCTGAGCACTGTATACAGTCACCCAAGCACTGCTAGAAGTGACAGCTAGGAACGAATCCTAAGCATAGAGTCAAGTAAGCCCTAAGCACAGCTGTGTGTGGCCCCTGAACAAATAACAAAAAAACAACAAAAAAATAAAAAGAGTTGGGGGCTGGAGTGATAGCACAGCAAGTAGAACATTTGCCTTGCATGCGGCCCACCCTGATTTGATTTAAAGCATCCCATATGGTTCCCCGAGCACCGCCAGGAGTAATTTCTGAGTGCAGAGGCAGGGATAACCCCTGAGCATCGCTGGGTGTAACCCAAAAAAAAAAAAAAATTAAAAAGAGTTGCCATTGGGGCTGGAGCAATAACACAGCGGGTAGGGCGTTTGCCTTGCACGTGGTCAACCTGAGTTCGATTCCCAGCGTCCCATATGGTCCCCTGAGCACCACCAGGAGTAATTCCTTAATGCAGAGTCAGGAATAACGCCTGTGCATTGCCGAGTGTGACCCAAAAAGCGGGGGGAAAAAAGGAGTTGCCATAATGAAGAAACTAAAACAGTTTTCTCTTATGAATGTCACACCAAGTTTGACCACCATGATATCCTCAAATTACTTGCAATATATTCAACAGTGAAAGGCAGCTTATTATGTATTTAGTTAGTGCTAAAAATTAAACATCTTTGCATCTTTGATCATCACTGCAGGGGATCCCGGACCATATGTGGGGTTGAGGATTTAACTTGGGTCACCCGCATGCAAGGCGAGCTTGCCATCACTGTACTATCTCTTCAGTCCCCTCCAGGATCTTTTAAAACAGGGTTTTGGGGCCGGAGTGATAGTTAGGGTGTTTTCTTTGTACCTAGCTGATTTGGGTTCGGTTCCCAGCACTCCATATGGGCCCCCGAGCACCGCCAGGAGTAATTCTTGAGCTACAAGCCAGGAGTAGCTCCTGATCATTGTCAGTGTGACCCAAAAAAAGGCATTAAAAAAAACAGATTCTCAGTTTAATATTTCTATAGCTCAAAGTTTAGTCTTGTTTACAATAGTTCAAAGTTCACTGCTTCTATAACTAAGAAACAGAATCAACTTGCTCTTTAGTCATTGATTTAGTATATCCAATCTCTCTAGTTTATGAAGTTAAGTGTTTAAAAATTCATCAGTTCATTTGGCATCTTAAAAATGATGTTTCAAGAGTCTATTGGTAGCTGACTAAAACTGAATCAGCTTTGACTTATAACCCATGATTATGTTTGTTTGTTTGTTTGTTTGTTTGTTTGTTTTTCGGCCATATGCAATGATGTTCAAGGGTAACTCCTGGCTCTTGACACAGGAATTACTCTTGGCAGTGCTTAGGGTACCATATGGGATGCTGAGAATTGAACCTGGGTCTGTCTTGTGCAAGACAAACTCTGTCCACTTTACTATCACTCTAGGCCTTATGATTATTTTTATACTTATTTTCAAAATGGTCTCATTCTTTTTTCATGTAAATTAAACCTATATTGAAAATACAAAGGTTTCTTAAAAATTATTTTACAAAATGACTTATTGTTGGCTGTTGGCTACTGACTTTAGAAATGCCTGTATCAGACACTCTGGGTGCCATTTAAAATCCCATCAGTCTCACCCCTGGCCTCATTGCAGTAACCAGTTTGCACACACCACAGTAACCACCTTTAGAAATAAACCCTCAGTGCCTTGACTCAAGCTTCCCTGAGTACCTATGTGTTTGCTGCCCTAATATTACTACTTCCTTTAACCATAGGGGATATAATCTATGGATTTATGCTTCCTTGTCTCATCCCCTACAATAGCAGGTGAGAGGTTTAAACACTTTATGAGCCTTTTAAAAGATCCTATCACATCAAATTCCAGTCACCATAAGTTGGTACTTATAACCAACTAAAGTCATATTTTATTGGCTTTGTCTTCTGGTCTGTATTACTATAAAGGACTATACATAGATAACTACTATATGACCTGCTCATGAGAGCCAACTTTGCAAGTGTATTGTTATAGGATGTTGTTTATGCTGGAAAAGTGGATAAAGCCAATGACTGCAGTAGGAACCAAACACTCTACCTTTTATCTGAGAATAGAGAGAACCCAGGGACTTTAATAGAAAGACATCTTGGAGGATGGGGTAAAATTTAGACTTGCCATCAAACTAGAAACTGCCATTGGATATCATGGATTAATCAATCAGAGAAATAAAATCTTATTTTTTGTTGATAGAAATTGGTGGGAAGGACATAAATTATAGAATATATGATACCAAAGGGAAATTTTCTTTGAGGACTCACTTTATATCTTTAAATAACTTAGAGGTCAGTGACACAGTGTCCCAGTACTATTCATTCTGTGAAGATACAGGGGGTGACAAAATTGTATCTAACAGTATTAATGGGCATGGTAAACTAACCT